GCAACAGGTGATCTTCAGCTCGTGCACGATCCAAGAAGGTCGTGCGGCACAGCGGGCACTGATTAGTGACTGTAACTGCAGCGGCTGCAGCACGTAACCCATGCTGGCCACCTTTTGGTTGCTGTCTGATGCGAACAGAGACCCGCCCATGGTTGGAATACACGCCCACTGACTTCACCTGCGTCCGTCAACAACTCGCATTTGAATTGCCCAAGTTCGTCGCCATCCCGAACTTCAGAAGCGGCCGCAAGGCCAGGTGGTGGAACAGCGACAGCTGTAGCCTTGGCCCTGAACTAGGAGGGGTCGATGCTGAGAAATGCTTCTGGAACCTCTGCGTCGCGGTAAAGCTGAGTGACGCTGCCGCCCCATATGTAGCTGAACTGCTCTGCGTTGTCAAGCACCAGGGGCGAGCTCACATCGTGAAAGAATTGCCATGCCCACTGATTGGCGCTGTCCTTGAGTGCGCCGTCTTCGTTGAGCTCGCCTGCGTCTGGATCGATGTCCTTCTCGAACTGGGGTGTGCCGAAAAGCGCTGTGATCCACTGGTCGTAGTCGGCACGGTACTTGACAGAGGCCTGGATCATGCGAATGCGCCTGACACGCATCTCTGCGAACATGGGGGGGGGGGGGGGGGGGGCGGGGGGGCGCAGAACCTGGACACTTCAATGTTGGTCATGCTCTTGTAGCGTCCGTCGTCCTGCTGCGTAGTAGCCGTGCCATGCATAAGAACCCTGAGGTACTTGACGATTGTGGTGTCCAACCTGCGCAGCTCGGTGTCCTTGATGAGGTAGGACCCCATGCCGCTGGCCACGGCGCCCACGATGCGGCCGATGAAGATTATGCGCTTGAGACGCCATGGGGCACGCCTGTGCCAGCATTTACCCATGATAGCCCAGGCCTTCTTCATACTTTGAGTGCGGCGGTCGATCTCGATCGCGTTACTTCCACCACGATGAAAGTGTCATCCGAGGTACTTCATTGCGCGTAGAACTCGACCTGGCATTTGGGCTGCGAGGCTGCGATTTTCTTTACGGGTGCGAAGGCCTCCAACGATTTCCTCCTTGTCTTTATTATGCGAGTAACCGTGCTGCGCGAGCGTGTCGTCCAAGATGGTGTTGCTGGAGTTGAGGGTATCTGCTGCGGTTTTGGCTGTACCCTTACTGACTACGCGCATTTTTAGAATGTCAGCAACGTAAAGGTAGGCCGAGAGGTCGATCATGTTGTGCGTGATGGGGGAGATGGTAGCGAACGGCGTGGAGTGCAGTAAGGTCGCGCCGAGCCACTGGCCAATTGGCTGCTCGTAGACGAAGTTGAATGATGTGGGTCCTGTGCTGCAGCCAGGCATCACTCCTGAACCAAGTGGGGAATATCCAGACTTGTCGCATCCGTCTATCTTGGCCGCAGCGCAACGATAACGTTGGGCAAACAACCGCTGTTCAGCGCTTGCCAAGCACTGGGGAATAACTTCCACCGCTTTGTCGACCAGCGTGCTCGGGAAGGCATTGGCGGCGTCCTTGCTGCCAACGATGAAGTCGATGTTGGAGCGCTGAAGTCTGGAGGCCATGATGCGCGATGCTGCCATTGGAACTTCTCTGCGGCGGTGTGGCCAGCAACCGTGAGCATGGGGGGGTGGCGACCGCGGAAGTGACTGGCATTGTAGTTGGCGGTGCACGCAGCGCCAGACTGGACAGAGCATGTGCAGTATACGCAATTCTTGAACTGCGGGCTTGGCGCGCATCTTGTCGAGCGCGAAGCTTTGGCTGCGACGAGCGCCCAATGGAGCTAAGGCGACCCTATAGACATGATCGAGTAGCCCTTCGAAACATCTGTCTGTCCACGGCGCCTCTATCAGCTCCTCGGCGTAACCGAGGCCTTGGGTCTGCGGCTTTCTCTTTGCGATAACTGCAGGCTGCGTGATGAGCTGGAGCATTTCTGCCGGCAACGACCATTCGGGAACAGAAGCTCGTCTTTGTTTTGAAGTATTTGAGGCGCTTCTTGACTCCGTGGTAAAGCATGCCCAAGTTCTCTTTCGCCTCGTAATGTTCATCCTTGATCTGCTGCTTGACGTCGCCGCCCAGGCCCGCAATGGCGGTCAGGAGCAGTTTTTTTTCTTGCTCGGAGTCGACGGGCTGAGCCTGAAACCCTCCATGAGCGCCAGTGGGTGCAACATGCGTAGTCCACTCGGCGAGGCTCGGTCTCGAACGGGCTGCCCTGCTGTAGTTGCGGTTCCTCTTGCCGTGGTTGGTGCTTGCCGTGCACCTGCTGAGTCGATGTATTTCTGCGTGCTGCCTTTTTTTTGCCATGCCTCAAAAATCTGTGTCTCTAATGATCTCTTGCGCTCTGCGCCGTGAAGTTGCTTCTGTTTCTTGATCGCTCTCGTGCGTCTGTCCAGCTTCTCTTCAATGACGAGGGCGATCTCTGCGCCGCTGCACTGCTTGCGCAGCTCCGCTCCTTTCTTAAGAAGCCCGCGCTTCTCTGCCATGCGCTGCTTGCTGGTACCTTGCTTTTTTTTTCCGTTTTCTCTCGAAGAAGGGCTTGGCTGTGGCCTTGGGCGTGTCGATCAGGAACTTCCAGTGCGCGTCTGTGGTGCACTGCTCTTTGAGCTCGCGGGTGGTATCTGTGTTGTTCTCCAGCGCGGCCCCGGGGGCTGAGATGAACTCGTTGCGATAAGCACCTGTCTGCAGATACTCTGCAATTTTGTCAAAATCCCATAGTGTCCGATGCATGTCTGTGAATATGTTGGGCATGGCGATCTCGGCACTGGCGATGAGTGGCACGTGGTTCCTCGGAACGTTGTCCTCTATCTGCTGAGCTGCTTTCGCTGCCTTCCACCATATATCACATGTCTGAAGATTCTGCAGTAGCCCTAGAGGAACGACAAGGTAATCGGGTCTCGTAGCTTTTCCTTCTGCACCGTAATATGTAGGGCCAGCATTCCAGAAAGTACTGGCGAGGCATAATCCGTGAACGTCCAGCATGTTATAGAAGGAGGCTGCTGCTTCACCTGGCCGTCCGTGTGGTAGCGAGTCTCCGAAGACTTCATTTATTTCTGTTGCAATGAGTCCGTCAGCTCCATAATGATCATTGAGGTCGATGCCTATCAACGGTGTGCTGCGCGTCGGTGTGGCATGAAGCGTACTGTTGATCCACTTGAGCGTCTCATTGACCGTCTTGACCCACTGGATGTGCCTGGCCGCTAGCCCCGAGCGAGGCGGGATGTAGGCCACGATGAAAGTGAGGTCGAGCTCGCCCCGCTTGGTGCGAAGAGCACCAGCGCGTCCTTGTATCTGCTTGGGCGGGCTCTTGATATCGACGACGGCTCTCGGACCAAACCTCTTGTTGCTCACCATGATCGCGACGCCATCATGATTGTTGGTGAGCGGTCCGCGGCCATAGCCCCACGTGTAGACGTTGCGATTGAGAGTCTTGAGCTGGTCGACCTCTGAGCTGGCGTCGTGCTGCCGCCAACGCGTAGCTGGGAGCATCATCGCGTCCACGGCGCTGAAGGTGTGGCTGAGCTCGAGGCAGCGATGCGGTGCCAGCATCGAGAGTGGATTATATACTCCCCAGCGGAGGAGGAGGGAGGAGGGAGGAGGGATAAGGGAGGAGGGATAAGGGAGGAGGGATAAGGGAGGAGGGATAAGGGAGGAGGAGGAGGAGGAGGAGGAGGAGGAGGAGGAGGAGGGGAGGAGGAGGAGGAGGAGGAGGAGGAGGAGGAGGAGGAGGGAGGAGGAGGGAGGGAGGGAGGAGGGAGGAGGGAGGATGTGAGGAGGGAGGAGGGAGAAGGGCGGAGGGTGAGGGAGGCGGGTAGAGGGGGAGGGAGGAGGGGAGGAGCAGGAGCGAGCAGGAGGAGCAGGAGGAGCATTCTGGGAGGCTTTCGTTTGAAAGGTAGGGAGGAGCAGGCCCGATAGGAGGAGGAGGAGGAGGAGGAGGAGGAGGAGGAGGAGGAGGATAAGGGAGGGAGGGAGGGAGGGAGGGAGGGAGGGAGGGAGGGAGGAGGAGGAGGAGGAGGAGGAGGAGGAGGGAGGAGGAGGGAGGAGGAGGAGGAAGGAGGAGGAGGAGGATCACAGAGGGGAGGGCGCAGAGGAGCGCCTGGACATGCACAAGGGAGGCAGGAGGCAGGGAGCACGGCGGGCTTCTCGTCGCGTCGACGGCCGCGGCGACCCTGCCGCGGGGGTGCACGGTGGAGCGCCACGTGCACGGCTGAGCCCCGCGGGCGTGCCGGTTGGACGGCCAACGCGAAGCAATCCAGCGATCGACAAGCCGCCGATCGTTCAGGTGAGCACGATCCGCGCTGCATCAGGAAGCAACGCCGGGGTCGTCACGACACGAACTTGCCGCAGGCGAGGGGGAGCGGGGATGCCCGATGGGCGGGAGAGCGGCATGGCCTTCAGTCGCAAAGGGGCAGGCAGCAGGAGGCAGAGGGATAGCGGAAAGAGAAAGCGTGGGAAAAAAGAGAGAGAGGGAGAGAGAGAGAGAGAGAGAGAGATAAAGAGAGACAGAGACAGAGACAGATACAGAGACAGAGACAGAGAGAGAGAGAGAGATAAGCAATCCACAAACATACCAGAAACAATGGGGCAGGAGCCCGGAGCTGGGGCGGGGGAGCCCATGGGGGGGTGCCTGCCGGCATGTCTGGGGAGCGTCGTGGGTGCGGGGGTAATGCGCGGGGAAGGCAGGGCATCGGCAGGCAGGCGCGAGCGCCCTGGGGTGCCGGGGGCGCGGGGGAGCGCGGAGGAGGAGGAGGAGGAGGAGGAGGAGGAGGAGGAGGAGGAGGAGGAGGAGGAGGGGGAGGAAGGAGGAGGAAGCGGAGGGAGGAGGAGGAGGAGAGGAGGGAGGGAGCGGAGGGAGGGACGGGAGGGAGGGACGGGAGGTGCTGATGGCGAATCTTTCAGGGAGAGAAGAGGAGGGGAGGAGGAGGAGGAGCGAGGAGGAGGAGGGAGGAGGAGGGAGGAGGAGCAGCGGCGCAGGAGAGACGGGTGTCCCCCCGTGCCCCCCAGGAGCTGCCGGAGAACCTGAAGGTCCTCTTCCGGTGGGTTGCCATGATGGTGCCGAACCGCGAGACCATCATGAAGGCCACATCGTCGGGGGCAGAAAAAAAACGCCCCTGCCCCGATTACGAGGCGCTGTGCTCTGAAACTCCTGTGGGCTGACAGGGCAAACCCTGCGTGACGTGCCGCGTCCTGGCGGCTCTAGGCTTTGGGGGGTCCCAGGAGGTTTACAGACCACGCACTTGTACTCCAGATTAGGGTTGCTTTTTTCATCCCTCAACATCGAGCGTTCCGCAGCCAGCGTTGCCTTGGGCGCGTCGCGCCGTCCAGCAAGCTGTCGGCGGAAGTTGGCGCAGGTAGGGCGACGGCGGCTCCGCCGGCTGGAGCTGGCGGAAGAGAAAACCCGCCACGAAGGTGCCCGCCTGCCTCTGCTCGCCCTTCGTCGGACTCCCTGTTTCACGCAGTGCGTATACCAGCGCCGTCCACATGGCAGTGGGGAGCCCGACGCGAGACGTCTTGCGCAGGAGGTTCATCGGGGCCAGTGCTCGTCGGTCGGAAGCGGACATGATGCCCATGTTTACGCCGCGTCGCCAGCCAGAGCCGGTGCGCAGCGCTCGCGGGGTCGAGGCTCCACCCCAGAAGGGACCTCTGGCCTCACCCGCATGTGGGTTTTCAAGGCGCGGCACATCATGCCCCCCTCCCCCCCCCCAGCTTCCCCCCCGACCGAATGGATACGGCGGGCTTTCGGAGGAGGGCCGGAAGCCACACGATGATTCCCGTTGCATTGCGGCAGGATGCACAAGGCTTCCTCGTGGGGCGGAATGCCATAGGACTATGTCTGTGCTGAAGAAGGCGGAGGAGGGCCGAGCGCCCGCCAGACCAAATCCGGTGTGGGGCTTCCCCCCTCTGTGGGCCCCCGCAGTTGGTGGCCCTTGGTGGCCCCCGTCCGTGCACGCGAGCGCGCAGAGCTGCAGGGGGTGCCAGAGGTCGCAGGCCTGATCATTGACTCCAAGGGCAGCGTGGGCGGTGTGCCCCCCCCACCGAGGCAGGACGACCCCGATCCCGGCGATGGTGGCTCTCTTTTTTCGGGTCCCCATATGGGTGGCCGCAGTGCATCAGCCTCGCGCGGAGGGGGGTGGGGGGAGGGGGGAGGGCTTCTTAGAAACACCCCTGCTTCTTGGAAGGCGCGGGCCTTCTCTATAGATGTAAGGCCGGCGCCTTCTGAGAAGCAGCCTCCTTCTAAGAAGCCCCCCCCCTCCCCTCACCCCCTTGTGCGCGCCGCCAGGTGTAGCCAGCAGCACCGAAATCTGGGATCGTCGTCTCCTGGCAGAAGCACACTCCGTGTGCTGGTGTTGCTGCCCGTGTCCAGATCTCCAGAGAGGGCCCCCCGAAGCCCCCCGGAAGCCGGGGCCCCCCGAAGCCAGGGCTATGGCTCTGCCTTCGCGGCAGCGAAGACTCGAGTACGCTGGAGCTCGTGCTTGCCGTCGCTCTCTGGCGAGCGCGTCCCAGATTTTGACGGTCCAGTGTCCGTGGGATGTCTGCAGCGGGAGCCCGCGCCGGAGTTCCGATGGGGTCTCGTCGGGTTTGTGCTGGCCCCGGCAGGCCAGCCCGAGTCCCCCCGAGCCCGAGTTCTTCGCCGCCCCGATGCATCCTGGGTCGTTTTTTTGCTGGTGGCCCCGGGGCCCGGGCGTGGGCCCCCTGGGGTTGACAGTGGCCGCGGCCACGCGACGCGGTGCGACGCGTGGCATGAGCACGCAGAAGCAGCACAGAGCCACGCAGATTCGTCAGGGCGAGAACCTCTCCGAGGGCAAGCGCCCTTGCACTCTTGCCTCTAGATTCGATGCTAACCCCTTAGCCATTGGCCATGGGCTTCCAACTTTGGCTTCCATCTGAGCGTCCAGGGGCCCTGCATCTTCTCCGTGCATCCTCGTGGTGCGGCCGCACCGTGCCATCAAAAGCTCTCTGCTGCCGCAAACTGACCTCTCTCGCGACGGTGCCGCCTCAGCATGCCATGGATGCGAAAGATCGGGATTGGTGATCTTTCTCTTGGCGACGGCGCCCATGGTGAACGCTAGAAGGCCCTCGGTGCACTATGGAGACTTGGCCAGGGGCTGGCAGAAAAGCATCGCCCGCCAGTGGAGACCTGCCTCTCTCGGGGGGGGCAGAACCCCCAACAGTGACACGTCGATTAGTGAATTGTCCGTTTTCGGTTCTCGAGAGGGCGCCGTGGACGTTATTGTTTCGCAGGCTTGCGCCCCCATGTTTTGGGCCTCATGCCGTTTTCCTAAAACCAACCTACGTTTTACTAACGTGGGGTCTGCCACCCGAACTATGGAGACTTTGCCAGGGGCTGGCAGAAAAGCATCGCCCGCCATGGGAGACCTGCCTCTCCGGGGGTGGACAAAACCCCCAACAGTGACACGTCGATTAGTGAATTGTCCGTTTTCGGTTCTCGAGAGGGCGCCGTGGCCGTTATTTTCCAGGCTTGCGCCCGCCAGGTTTGGGCCTCAGGCCGTTTTCACTAAACCACGTTTTACTAAAGGGAGGTCTGTCCATCCCCGGAAACTATGGAAGAATATGCCAGGGGCTGGCGAAAACATCGCCCGCCAGTGAAGACCTCCTCTCCTGCGGGGGGGCAAACCCGCCAACAATGCACGTCGGATTTAGTGAATTGTCCGTTTTCGTTCTCCGGGAGGCGCCGTGGCCGTTAGTTGCCAGGCCATGCTTGCGCCCGCCTGTTTGGGCCTCATCCGTTTTCACTAAACCACGGTTTTACTAACGTGGGGTCTGCCCATCCCCGAACTATGGTGACTTGGCCAGGGGCTGGCAGAAAAGCATCGCCCGCCAGTGGAGACCTGCCTCTCTCGGGGGGGGGCAGAACCCCCAACAGTGACACGTCGATTAGTGAATTGTCCGTTTTCGGTTCTCGAGAGGGCGCCGTGGCCGTTATTTTCCAGGCTCGCGCCCGCCAGGTTTGGGCCTCAGGTCGTTTTCGCTAAACCACGTTTTGCTAAAGGGGGGTCTGTCCATCCCCGACTATGGAGACTTGGCAGGGGCTGGCAAAAAGCAATCTCTCCGCCAGTGGAGACCTGCCTCTCTCGGGGGGGGCAAGAACCCACAACAGTGACACGTCGATTAGTGAATTGTTTGTCGCTTTCGCGAATCCCCACCAGCCCATCCAGAAACGATGCCCAGAGGACTTGCCTCGATCAGAGAAGTGGGCAGCACACAGAGGAAGCCATTATGAGACATCTTGGGATATCTTGAGCCATCTTGGAGGTCATTTTGGGCTCTCCCAGACGCACTTGGAGTCATCTTAATCCGTGCCCCCCCCCAAGAGGCCTCCATGTGGCTAAAACCTGTGTAGAATCAATGATTAGGCATTCTCGCCGAGGCCTCTTGGAGCTTCTTGGGTGCATCTGGGGGGGCTCTTGGGGCCTCTTGGGGGTCTCTTGGGGGCCTCCGGGGGGCCTCTTGGGGGCCTCTTGGGGCCATTTTGGGGCCATCTTGGGACCTCTTGGGGCTTCCTGGGCGCTTCTTGGGGCCATCTTGGAGGAGATCGATCAAACAAGAGAGGGGGCTTTAATTAGCGCCCCCCCTCGGAAGCCCCTAAAATCGCCTCTTGGACCCCTCTTGGAACGCTCTTGGAGTGCTCTTGGGCGCTCTTGGGGCCGTCTTGGGGCTCTTTTGGGGCTCTCTTGGGGCCCTCTTGGGCCATCTTGGAGCCATCTCCAGGCCTCGGATAGCCATCGGAAGCGAAAAGGCGAGAAAGCCAAAATCATTGATTTTCCTTAGGTTTTGGTACGATTTTGGCCTCTTCGGGGCCTCCTTGGGGAGCTGTTTGGCCACTTGGAGTTATCTTTGGGCCGTCTTTGGGCTTCTTGGAACCATCTTAGGAGCCATCGTGAGCGATCTTGCGCTATCTTGAGCCATCTTGGAGCTCATCTTGGGTTCTCTGAGGCGCTCTTGGAGCCGTCTTGGGCCATCTGGGACGCTCTAACTACCCGCGGCCCCCCCCGTCCAGGTCCAGGGGAGGGGGTAGGGGGAGGGGTAAACCCCTCCCCAAGGGGGAAGAGGGAGGGGTGGAAGAGGATCTGTTCTAGACCACCTACGCCCAGAGGGCTGGTGGGATTGGGCCGTCTCCGGGCCCTCTTGGGGCGGTCTTGGGGGCGTCATGGACCGTCATGGGGCCATCTTGGAGGCCTCTTGGGCGATCTTGGAGCGATCTTGAGAGCTTCTTGGGCCGTCTTGGGCCGTCGGAAAGCCGAAAAGGCGCAAATGCCAACATCCTTCAAAAACCTAAGGAAAATAAATGATTTTGGCCTCGTCGGGCCTTTCTGGAGGACCTCTTGGAGGATTTTTGGACCGTCTTGGAGGCCTCTTGCGGGCATTTTGGGTTGTCTTAGACCATATTGAGGCCATCTTGGGCCGTCTTGGAGGCATCTTGTGGCCATCTTAGCCGTCTTGCAGGCCATCTTGGGCCGTCTTGGAGACGTCTTGGAGACCATCCTGGGCAAACTTGACCGTCTTGGACGCCATCTTGGGCCAACTGGAGAAAGCAGAGGCACGACGGACGCGTTTTGAGATCTTTTCCGGGTGGCTGGCGGGACGGGCCGAAGCCCCAGGGGGAGTTCATCCGGCACGCCAGGCACCCCTTTTGATAAATCAAAAGGGGGCGGCGGATCCAGTGGCCTTCGCCCATCCCGCCACCGTGCCTGGGTGGTGGGTCAGAGGCCTCATGGATTTTGGTTGCGATCTCGCGATTGGCCTCGGCCGTGCGGGAGCAGTTTTGAAGCAGCTGACGCCGCCGGTGCGTTCCCCTCCTCCCCCCACCCTCCAGACAGGTCGGACCAGGTTTGGGTAAAGGTGGCTTGTGGAGAGGCAATCGTCCCCCCGCTGGGAGGACCCCGGGGGGTCGGCGAATTCGACTTGTTGATGCGTATCGGTGGGCACTTGCGCTTCCATGTGAAGTTTGGCGTGTAATGTGCATGCGGAGTGAAACGTGTGTTCGTGGCCTCCGACATGCATGGTCCTACGCTGATTGTTCGCCGCTTGCCGCCATTCATTTGGGCAGTCCTCCTGGTGATGTCGAGGGTGACCAGGGTTCGCAGTCGAGGAACGGCGAGTGACCCTTGGATTCTGCCGCTGGCACCAGATCGTTGAAGCCTCCTCCAGTCCTGCCCCAGCACCGTTGGCAGAGGTTGTGGGCCGTTCCAGCCTCAGCGCCAGGAGCCTTTCCACGAGCAGGCGGCGCTGTGCGGCATCTTGCAGCAGGAGGCCCCGCAGCACGCGGCCCAGGCGGACTGGTGGTGGAGCTGGCGAGGCGGGCCCCGCAAAAAGGCGCTGGGCCGCCACGTGTTCGTGGTCGACTGCGGGGCCATAAACTTCAAGCAGCCCGAGCAGGCGCAGTTCGTGGTGCACCTCGTGGACAACAAGCGTTCGGGGCCGTCTAAGCTGCAGAGGCTGGCGGAGCGCTCAAGATGTGTACAGTCGGAGCGAGGTATACGATCGAGGTCGGTCCGGGCAAGGCACCCTAGTGTCATTGCTGCTTGGTTGATGTTCTTGTGCGTCCTGGGGAGGGTACCCTTAGAGGCTCTGTTTGTTTGGGCCGACGGAGGGCGGGCCCTATTTTCGTGGAGGAGGTTCCTCGGGCCCAGGTCCGACTGTAGCGGAAAGGGAGGTGGCCGTCAGGGAGGCGGACGGGCCCCCTGAGGAAGCAGATGCCTCCCGGGCTCTCGCGCAAGCCCTCCCAGCATCTCCGGGGAGCTTCCTCGGGGGGTGCGCCTGAGCACTCGCACGACTTGTACGGGCCCACCCCTGGCCTTCTGAGAAGCCGCCCGCCTCCCTCCTCCTCCTCCTCCTCCTCTCCTCCTCCTCCTCCTCCTCCTCCTCCTCCTCCTCCTCCTCCTCCTCCCCTCCTCCTCCTCCTCCTCCTCCTCCGCCTCCTCCTTCTCCTCCTGCCCCTCCTCCTCCTCCTCCTCCTCCTCCTCCTCCTACTCCTCCTCCTCCTCCTCCTCCTCCTCCTCATCCTCCTTCCCCCTCCTCCCCCGCCTCCTCCGAAGGCGGCCGCCCCCTCGCGCGCCCCCCCCATTCCCCGTGCGCGCCGCCTACCAGGGCGCACGCGGGCTGGAAGCGCCTGGGGTCCGCGGGGCGTGCCGCTGGTGTCCACGAGGGCATAGCCTGGGCGCCACCACCGAGCCCGCAAGAGCGCGGGGGGGGGGGGCAGGGCAGGGAGAGGAGGAGAGAGGAGGAGAGGAGGAGGAGGACGAGGAGGAGGAAGGAGGAAGATGACGAGAGGCGGCAGAGGAGGAGGAGAGGAGGGCTGCGCGAGGGCGTAGCTCCGCCTCCTCACGCAGAGGAGGGCGAGCTGAGACGGCAGCGGCAGGTGCCTGTCGGGGAGGGCCCTCGTCGCCACGGCTGCACGCAGCGGATCCGGCCCGGAGGGCTTTGGAGGCTGGCCAGCGCGCACGGGCAGGCGACGGTCCGGGAGGGTGTCGTCGGCCTGCTGTGGACTTGCGTGTCTCAGCGGGCCCTGACCGACCACCCCTTCCATTCCCTCGCGCCAAATTTTAGCAAGCAGGGACCGCCGCCGCCGGGAGCCACGATGCCCCAGCAGGATCTGGTGGCCCAAGGGTCTATGGAGCGCTCCGCGGCACTCGACTGGTTCTGGTTCACACAAGCAGCTAAGGCCGTCCAGAGAGATTACAGTGGAGCCCCCTGAAGAAACACCCTACTTGCCTCCAGGTGCCTGGGTTTTTTGTGGGTTTCGATGGTTTTGCGATGGAAAGCGTTACGCTCCGACACCAAAAATTAAAGGACGTCCTGGGGTCTCAGGGTCGAGTTTCTGGTGGAAGGTTTCTTGTGGTCCGGCCCCTACTGTACACGTTTTTGCAAGCTGCCGCCGACTGATCCTGGCTGCCGAAGCGACGAGCCTCCTCCTCCTCCTCCTCCTCCTCCTCCTCCTCCTCCTCCTGCTCCTCTCTCCTCCTCCCTCCTCTTCCCCCTCCTCCCTCCTCCTCCTCCTCCTCCTTCTCCTCCTGCCCCTTCTCCTCCTCCTCCTCCTCCTCCTCCTCCTCCTCCTCCTCCTCCTCCTCCTCCTCCTCCCCGAAGCTCTCCTCGATGTTCGGCACCTCCGAGACGTGGTCGAAGCATGCGGTTGGCGAAGCCCGTCGGAGGAATATCTTGTTCTACGCCCTGCCTCGTCCTCCTCCCCTTCGCGAACGAGCGAGCGAGAACGAGAGACCGCGAGGACACAACAAACACTGCCTCTGGCCTTTCGGGCCTGCAGATGGGAGTGCGCTCTTCAGCGCGCCAGAGCTGGAAGTGAGCCGCTCGGAAGTCCAGGGAGTCCAGACTCCGTTGCACCGCGGGAACTACTTCAGCCTGGTGGCCCGCGTTTCGCGTTCCTCGTGGCTGTGTCGTGGCACGGATGCCTCGACGGGGCGTCGCCGTCTGCGCGTTGTCTGGTCGAAGGGTGGGGAGGCAGAGCGTGCGGCGGGGTGGAGCGCTGAAGCGGGGCACGGTCAGCGGGGGCGAAGCCCAGCCGTGGCCGCGGTGTCCTTGCCGCGCACCTTCAAAGTCAAGTTCTGATGGATGGTAAGTAAGGGCCTGTTGGTTTGGTGAGGCGATCGCTCGTTTGCCTCTCATGCGAAGGTGTTTCGGCAACATCTGTCCTCACCCCTCGGCGCCTCCACCCCTCCTTGCCCCCCGCCTCCCTGTGCAGCGTCCTCCGGCCCGTTGACGAGCTCGTGTTCTAGCAGGTGAAGTTCCCATCTCACGGCCCATGTCCCTAAAAAATGTTGTGAGCTGGCAAACTCCGCTGATGGAGGGCGGCTGGACTCAAGAATCTGACGATCGCCTCGGTCACACTGCGCTGGCTGCAATGATAGAGAGGGCACCCGTTCGGCACAGAGTGGTGTGGCACTGATGGTTATCTCGTGGTGACTCCCGTTGAGTCTGCCGTTACGCTCGCCACTCCAGTCCTCAATCGGGACCTTTCCTGTGTCAGGGCGGCAGGGTTTGGACGAATAGTCGTCTGACAGGTCGGAGGTCAGAAAGCGGCCCCTACACTTATGTCGGGCCTGTCCCCCTACAGGGGGATTTTCGACGATTGTTTAACAAACAAACAGAAAAACTAAAACCCCCAAATACCCCAAAAATGTCAAAACAAATTCAAAAAGTAGTCCCCAGGCTATTTTTAATTATTTGTGTTGACTATCCTTGGGGGATTTTTTTATTTTTCGTCGGACATCCCCCCTGTAGAGGGACAGGCCCGACGTCGCCCCCCCACACGCCGAGGACTGCGAGGAGCCTCTCCCCCGCGCTCCCCCGAGAGAGGCCGGGGGTCCGGGCCGCTCGGGGGTCCCGGATAGATCCCCCCCCATTGGAGGCGTCCGCGGGGCGCGCTCGGGCCTCCGAGGCGGCTCGAGCCGCGGCGACGACGGGGGGCCCCAGGGGGCCCACTGGAGGCGTCCACGGGGTGCGCTCGGGCCTCGGAGGCGGCCTCGAGCCGCGGCGACGACGATGGAGCCCCCAGGGGGCCCCCACCCAGGAGCGCAGGATGCCACGGGAGCCCGCCCAGGGGCCTCCGGGAGGCCCGCCCAGGAAGCCTCCCAGGAGGCTGCAGGAGGCCCACCCAGGAGCCTCCAGGAGGCCCACCCAAGAGGCCTCCAGGAGGCCCACCCAGGAGGCCTCCAGGAGCCTCCAGGAGGCCTCCAGGCGGCCGGCCCAGGAGCCTCCAGGAGGCCCACCCAGGGAGCCCACCCAGGAAGCCCCTGTCCCGTGTCGTGCGGGAGCCATCGGTGGGCTCCTGGGCGCCGGAGCCCTGGCAGGATCCGGAGAGCCCAAGGAGGCCACTCCAGTGGCAGCACAATGCTGAGGCTTCCACATGTGTGTCCAGCCCCGCAGGGCCCAGTTGATGGGATTGTGGACGACCCATGCTGGTTTGTGATGGCCACGGCTTTGCACGAAAACCACAAACGTCATGGCGCCAACATCGCAGAGTGGATTTCGCTCGGAAAACAATGGGATCGGTCCAGGTTGTTCTGGAGAATTTCGCTCCCGATCTCGAAGTGAATTTCTTGCGGATTTGTTTTGGCCATGAAGCTACAAACGAGATCCGCGTGAAATTCACTTCGTTTTTCGCTCGCCGTTTCTGGGTTTTGCATTTAAAAAATATCCACGCGAAAATCCGCTGCAGCACGTCTGCAAGGTCAGGTCGGTGCGGTGACAACCGTGGTACACCTCGAGGGAGCCATCGGGCTGGTCTGAGAGAGCAGCCGGGTGAGCGGCGCCACAGCACGCGTCCGACCGTGCGGCCACGGACGCACTCGCTGTTCGTTGCGCGCGAGCGCGGCCTTTTCTCCACACGGAGGGTGCCGCGCCCGCGGGCCGCGTGAGCCATCGCGCGCAAGGTATTCTCCTCCGAGCCAGGCAGAGGCCTTGCCAAGGAGCGCTTATGTCGACCCAACGCGATGCGACAGGGAAATTCGAAGAGGATCGATGAGGGGCACTGGCCAAGGGTGTCATCGATGTCGTAGCAGAGAGCCAGGGGCCGCATCCCTCCTTGACAAGTGGCACGCGTGCCCTGGCTCTCTCATGAGGGAGGGCGAGGGCTGGGAGAAGCGGAGTGAGGGTTCTCGAGGCTATCTTAGTGTTCTCTGGGGGCCGTCGTGACCATCATGAGGATGCAGGGGTAAGGTGGCCCAGGGGGCGACGAGCGAACGAGCGAACGGCGGCGAAAATTAAAGGCTGCAATCTCTAGAACACTATTGCGCAAGTCAGGAGAATTTCAATGTTTCACTTCGCATATTGACAATTACCATTCTTCTCCAGGGCGGCGGCGGCGAGGGGTCCTGAGGTCCCCGGAGGCGTCTGGAGAACATCAAGAAGCACCAGGCAAACAGAAAAAACAGATACCGTCGTTCATCACCTGGCGATACCGGGCGTTATCCAAGGGCGGGGGAGGGGGGGGGACCGGGGCCTCAGGTGGAGCTCCCTTGGGGCCACGAAGCGTGAACGACGTGCGCCGGGAGGGTGTGGAGAAGGCATGCGGGCCCCGGCGCTGGGGCCTCAGGCTTGGCATCGCTCGGACGTGTGCATTTTTCCTTCGGCGAGGACCATCGAGGAGCATCCTTTCTATGATTTGGCGATAAAAAACCACGCACGAGACCGAAGAAAGCACAGGGAATGGACGTCCGAGCGATGCCCAGCAGGTGGAGCTCCCCCTGGGGCCGCGACACGCGTGCTGGGGTGCTTCGAAGTGGTGTGGAGAAGGCAGGCGGACCCCTCGGAGAGAGGCCCGGGGACGCCACGGTTCGCGCCGACGCCGTCTGGGAATGCCCGGGCGTGGCTGCTTCCCACACGGCGCCGGCGCGATCCGTGGCGTCACCAGCGGGGGGAGGGGATCCGTGGCGTCACCAGCGGGAGGAGGATATTTCCCACTGCCGGTCCCGCCTCCCGGAGGCGGGACCGGCAGTGGGAGTTATCCTCCTCCTCCTCCTCCTCCTCCTCCTCCTCCTCCTCCTCCTCCTCCTCCTTCTCCTCCTCCTCCTCCTCCTCCTCCTCCTCCCACAGAAACATCAAGTTTCTGAGATCCGCGCTGTCTCCCTGGGTCGGCGCCTGGACCCCCCTGGCGGCGCGCCTCCGGCGCCGCCCCTGGCGTGCTCCCCGCGCCATTGAGGAGGTCCTGGCGCCGAGCTCAGGAATCCGCGCCGAGCTCCGAAAGTTCCTTTGTACGCAGCCGCTGCTGCTCTTGTCTCCACGGGTGATGAGCTAGCTCTGCCCCCTCCCTCGATCCTCGATCCTCGATCCTCCCTCGATCCTCGATGCTCCCTCGAGCCTCGACCCTCCCTCGGGCCTCGATCCTTGAATCCTGATCCTCCCTCGACCCTTGATCCTCCCTCGAGCCTCGACCCCTGCCCTCGAGCCTCGCGCCTCGAGCCCCGCCCGCGAGCCTCGAGCCTCGAGCCCCGCCCGCGAGCCCTGAGCAGGACCTGCCCCCGCCCTCGACCCCTCCGGCGCTCGAGGGCGCCGCCCCCCTGACCACCCCCCCCGACGGGCTCCCCCCCCCCCCCCCCCTCGAGAGAGCGGCGGCGCGGAGGCGGCCGCCCACGCGCGGTGGAACCGCTTCGGCGCGGCCGGCGATCGCGCGCGCCCCTCAGGCGCGGGGGGCGTGGGGCGCGGGGGGCGCGGGGGGCTTCTCTTCAGGAGGGAAAGTTGTCCTGGCGAAGGACCCAACCAGACGCAAGTGTGAGAACCGCAGGGCGTTCCCAATGGGGCCAGGAACTGAGTGAGGGGTGCGCCAAAATGGGACGGGGCCGCCATGCGAACCCTGCCACTGGGGCCCGTTTGAGGGGTGCGCCAAAATGGGGCGGGGCGGCCATGCGAACGCTGCCACTGGGGCCTTCGGTGGAGCTCCCTATGGGGCCACGAACCGTGTGAGGGGTGCGCCAAAATGGGGCGGGGCCGCCATGCGAACGCTGCCACTGGGGCCTTCGGTGGAGCTCCCTATGGGGCCACGAAGCGTTGTACTGGGTGGGTAAAACGATGGGAGGAGGGGGGAGGGGGAGGAGTGCGGGAAGGAAGGAACGCGGGCCACCGTCTCTTCAAAACGAGGACCCAACACCACAGGATGGTTTGGAAAAAAAACACTCAGCGGCGAGCGGGGGGGGGGAAGTGAGAAGGAGAAGGCCTTCTCAGCCGGCGGCGGGACTTCACAGAAGCCCTCGCGCCTTTTGAGAGGTGTTTTGCGACTCCGGGGAAGGCTTAGAAAACTTCTCGGAAGGCCGGGGGACTTCCGAGCTTTCTGAAAAGGCCTTCTCCTTCTCATTTCCCTCCCCCGGCTCGCCGGCAAAGCACACAGGCACAAAGCATGGTCGCTTCCCATGAAAAGTATCTGGGAAAAGATTGGAGGTGGCGGTGCGCACGAACCTCCGAAAAATGCGGACTAAGATTGGGAATCCTGGAATCTGTGTCAATCTAGTTGTGTGTCCCTTGTCCCTGGCCCCTTCACCTGTCAAAGGAGGCAACGGCACCCATGCAGCTACCCTCCCCCGTTTTCCTCCTTTCCGGGGGGCCTCTGGGGAGCCCCTCGTCGACACCGCTGGATTCGCCTCGAAACCCTTGTGAGGACGTACCCCGGGCGAGGTCCGGGGGCAGCAGGATTTTTTGGTCTCCCCATTTTCGCGGACGACGAAATCTGTACATATCCTTTCCCCACGGCCAGGCCCACCCCGCGCCCTGGGGGGCGGTACATACAAGGTCTTCTGGCCAAGCTGGGAGGGCGAGTGCGCCGCTTTTGGGCCCGGAACGGGCCTGGCCGGGGGCAGTGGATGTTGCGTGTGTGCACTGTTCGTGCAGTCTGCAAAGGACGGGCGCTGCTCAGCCGCGAAGTGTGGTTTTCCCCCCCCCCTGTAGGGATCTTGAGGGGGGATTTCTGTCAACGGGCATGATCGGCCCGTCGACAGTCCTCCTCCGTACATGGCGCTCTTGGCTCAAGAGCGCTCGCCCGCCCGCGCCCCAGCCTGGCGCCGGTTCATGGACTGGCTCGCGCAAGGGCTGCACGTGGACGCCAACGCGGGGTTGTGCGCGGCGGTGAACCGCACCACAGGCCCAAGCCAGCAGCCGCACACTTGCGTCTGCTCGTTTGACGTGCCGCCGACCGACCAGCGTGCTGGACGTGCCGTTCGACGTGCCGCCGACCGGCGGGTGCTGGACGTGCTGCAGCGGCAGATGGACAGGTGCGGGCCGGAGGGCCTCACGCAGCCGAGCTGCCCGGTCTGCGAGCGCCCAGCCTGCGAGTGCATTTCATCCAGCTGGACATCGGCGACCCATAGTCCACGATCTTCATTGTCGGCTTCTTGTGCTTCAGCCTCGGCCTAATCGCCGGGCTGACGTGGTGCTTCCTTGCCCGCCGCCAGCAGGCGGCATCCATCGTGCAGCAGGAGATCACCTCGGAAACTGCCAGCGCCGCCCCACCGCTTCGAGGTCCAGGTCTTCAGTCGCCAGCTAGCATGAAGGCTCTGACCACATCAGATGGCCGCTAGATCCCTCGACGCGCCTGAAGTCTGGCAGACTTCGTTAACAACGTGAATGAATTCTTGTGGCACCATCGGCTCCAGTTGAAGCCAGCACTTGTGGCAGGACGCTGGATAGCGTACGACATGAGCGTCCAGGTCGCCGATTTGAAAAGCCACCGCATCGTTGCCTTGGAGCGCGATTCTCCGATACCAACACAGTATGCAGTGGCAGCGCACGTCTTCGACCCGCTCCAGCCCGCCGAGCTCGAGCAGGTGTGCAGCCGGGCCGTCTCCCTTTTCGGCATCCTGGGGATCACCAGCGCAGGCGCCGCTCTCACCGACCAGGCGGTCTGAAGGATCGCGGACCCCATCGCACCCCCGCTTTGACAACGAGCTGCCCACACCGTGACAGCTTCATCCAGGCGCCCGACGGCAGCGTGGCCATGGCGCTCATCGACGACAAATGGGTGGCCGTGGCGTCGGCGGCCCCAGACGCCCACGACGAGCGGCTCTGGGCAGAAGCGCTTTGGGGTCTTTGGTCGGGGACGCGCGGCCCGACGGGGCCCGCTTCAAGGCGATGATCGACGCGGTGGGCCAGTCTTGGGTGGGGACGGTCCCGGGATGATGTTTTTCCAGTGCGGGCGCCTCGTTCTAGAGTTCGTGGCCTCGCTGCGCAGCGCTGGGAACTTGGACTTGGTCTTGTCCCAGCACCTGGACTTCGTTGGCGAAAGCGGGATGGGGCGCCAATCGGGCCTTGCCCACACGCGTCGCCGCATGTCCGAGGCGATGACGCACATGCAGTGCTTCGACTAGCTGAACGCGTACAACCTTGCTTCGGCCAAGCTTCTGACGAGGTACCTGCGCCAATCGACAGCGCAGGGCGCAAAAATATATTACCCTGCGACGTACCCAACCCATTTGTATCAATGGAAACGAGGAGTTGGCCGAAACTTGCATGGACAATCAACTTGATGTGTAAGCTACTTGGGACACGCACCTATGGCGAGAACCATACAAGAACGAGGGGCGACAGCTACAGGCTCGCAGAGGACATGGGGAGTCGGGAACGCAGAGCAGGAGAACAACGCGCGGGAAGCCGAACCATCAGCACGGCAGCAGCGGAGGGAAGGTGACTGCAGGAGGAGAACAAGGACGAAAGCGGCGTCTTATTTGAGTCTGCGGTGGGTGCCCACTGTGCTGTGCCCCTCAGCAGCCCTCGAAAGTGGCAACAGTTTCACAGATCGCAGCCCCCCAGGGATGGCGAGGTCTAATTTGAGTCTGCGGTGGGTACCCACTGTGCTGTGCCCCTCAGCAGCCCTCGAAAGCGGCGGCAGTTTCACAGATCGCAGCCCCCCAGGGATGGCGAGGTCTAATTTGAGTCCGCGGTGGGTACCCACTGTGCTGTGCCCCTCAGCAGCCCTCAAAGTGGCGACAGTTTCACAGATCGCAGCCCCCCAGGGATGGCGAGGTCTAGTATGAGTCTGCGGTGGGTACCCACTGTGCTGTGCCCCTCAGCAACCCTCGAAAGTGGCGACAGTTTCACAGATCGCAGCCCCCCAGGGATGGCGAGGTCTAATTTGAGTCTGCGGTGGGTACCCACTGTGCTGTGCCCCTCAGCAGCCCTCGAAAGTGGCGACAGTTTCACAGATCGCAGCCCCCCAGGGATGGCGAGGTCTAATTTGAGTCTGCGGTGGGTACCCACTGTGCTGTGTCCCTACAGCAACCCTCGAAAGCGGCGACAGTTTCACAGATCGCACCCCCCAGGGATGGCGAGGTCTAGTTTGAGTCTGCGGTGGGTACCCACTGTGCTGTGCCCTTCAGCAGCCCTCGAAAGTGGCGACAGTTTCACAGATCGCAGCCCCCCAAGGGCGGCGTGGTCTAATTTCAGTCTGCGGTGGGTACCCACTGTGCTGTGCCCCTCAGCAGATCTCGAAAGTGGTGACAGTTTCACAGATCGCAACCCCCCAAGGATGGCGAGGTCAAAGGCAGGGGGGAAGAGAGGGACGGGAAGGAAGGAAAGGAGGTTCGCGCGAGTAGTGCTCTATTCAAAACGAGAACCCAACGCAGGAGGGTTGGGAACAACAACCCCGACATGAGTAACGCGGACATGGCGCTGCCGTCGGGCATCGACGAGAACGGCGCCATCATCACGACGAAGTGCCAGTCTTGCACCGCGCAGCGGGACCGCGCCCAGACGCTCAAGCAGGAACGGCTGTACGCTGAGGAGCAGGATCACGCCGTGGCAGGAGTTTGCGGCCCCGACGTTGGCGGCCAGGGCGACGGCGGCGGCGGAAGCCGCGGCCGCGGGGCAGGTGACCGGGGCGGCGGCCGCGGACGCGGGCGATGCTGGTGCGCCGACGCCCCCGGCGCCGCGGACGGCGGCTCGCCCCCCTGACGGGGGGGGGGCGCGGGGGATTGCTCGCTTGCGCCATCCTTCGCCACGGCGCAGGCGACATCGAGGCCCCCGCGCCCCGCGCTGGCGACGTCGTGCCCTACGTCGACGCGGCGCACATCGGCTTGGTCATCAACAGCACGGTCCTTTCCCCCAGCCTCCTGCCGGCAAGGCGGGGTCCCGCCGCTGGCGAGCCCCCATCTCGGCGGTGACGAGCGCCAAAGACTCTGAACGCTCCCAACGCCCCCTCCAAGGCTCCTGGGGCCTCTCGCACACCGAGATGTCATGTCCTCTCGGACGCAGCGCGACGTCCGTCGGCGGCTTCATCGACGGGTTGCTCGACATGAGCTGGGGCCACCCGTGGCCGCCATTCAAGTTCATCTCGATTCGATAAAGGGCAGGGGCCCGCACTCTTCCTAGCGCGCCAATTTGGTGCCTTACGACACCGCGAATTTCACCCCACGAAGCTCGCAGTGCTTCGTGGCTCGGTGAAGCCTCTTCCCCTTCCTTCCCCGCCCCGGCTCCCGCCCGGGGCTCGTCGGATTTTCGACGACAAGAGTTTGCCCATACTCCTAGCTGCCGCCGACGCCGACCAGCTAGTGAATGCTGGCGAAATCCCGCAGGCACGGCCTTCTGGGTGCGCCAGTCTTCGCTTCAGCCCTTCGACGAGGCGGAACTTCGTTCGCCCTGCACCACCGCAGGCTCGTCCCCTCGACGCGACATCACCCGCCGCGTCAAACGTTTTTTTCGACGCCGAGAAGAACGGCGACGTCCGCCTAGCGATTGCCGGTTGGAGGTCCAGCACCATCCACCAGACGCCGCTTGGCTTCGAGCTGGGACCGGCCGGTGCGACGAGCTTTCCCGACCTCTCTGACGACGCCTTGCTCGACGGTGACGTCGACCAGTCGAGTCGGACGTGCACTTCTCGGGCAGCGGCGGTGATTTGAAGGGCGGCTTCTTCCAGTGCGTCGACCGGGACCTGGCCTCCAACTTCGGGCTCACTTTCCCTGAGGAGGCTACTCGGCATGGCTGCGCCCGCGCGCGTGACGACTCTTCCAGGACCTCCGAGGCCGTGGGCGGCGAGACGCGGGTCTACCCCGCGTTCCGCAGGCCTCCCACGGGCTGGTCGTGGAGCCTGCGCCTTTGCCAGCAGGTCTTCAGCAGCGCCCTTGAAGACGCCGCGGGCGCTGACGGCGGACCTCGCCTGCCGCGCGAAGACTGGCCGCAGCCCGCGGAACGCCCGCTCGTGGCGCCGCGCGGTGGCGACAACAACATTATCGGCCTGACCCCAGCGCCGGCGGCCACAGGGCTTGCCGCTGCGCTCGGGGAGCTCCGGGCGCGGTAGCCTGGCCTACCACGAGGTGGTCGAGCCTACCATCGTCGCCGAGACGGTCGGGGCGTTCCTGGATTACTTCCCCACGTGTCAGCGCCTTGCGCGGCATCGGCTGGAGCGTGCCAAGAGGCTCTACCAGGCGCTGGAGTGCCTGATCTGGCGCGGCGCAGCCCCAGGCCACGCCATGATGCGCGTCGCGGGCCACACGGTGAACGATTTCACGTTTGGCCGCTGCACCTTGTCGGTTCTCGGCCACATCAACAGCTTCATCACGGACTTCGGCCCGAAGGTTGCTAAAAGGATGCGGCGCAAACTGCGCCTTTCCCGTCGGGGCCCGGGAATTTGCCTTCGGGGGCCCTTTTGGGGCGTTCTCGAGGCCACTTTGTGTTCTTTTTCTGGCCATCTTGAAGCTATCTTAAGGCCTCAGGAGCCGATCGGAAGCGAAAAGGCGAGAAGGTAACAGACGCTAACTGATACAGCGGTTTTGAATGATTCTGGCGACTTGGAGTCTTCTTTGGGTGGCTCGGAGCACACTTGGAGCCGCCCTGAGAAGGTTTTGAATCCTGGGATGTCTTAAGCGATCTTGGAGGCCATCTTGGGCTCTCGGGGCCCTGCCGGAGCCACCAGGGGCCACCTTCGGGGCTCCAGCGGCCCAGCCTCCCCTGGCCAGATGGGGCAATTTCTCCAGACAGCTAGGGCCTTGCTCCTATCCAGCATCTTGATCTCAGCTCAATCCCATCTCCTTGAAGGGGAAAAGTGCGGCGGCGGCACCTCGCCCTGGGACCGTTTTTGTTGGCACACGTGCGGTCCGAAGGAGAAGAAGGGGGTGAACGAGCTTGTTAAACCACTTCATGCCCAGAGGGTGGCTGGATTTCGAAAACGTTTTAGAAGGGCTCCGTTTTCCCACCCGTTGGGTCTCAAGAGCTTTCAAAATGGCCCGAGAGGCCGCCACGACCAGTTGACAGTCAGAACAGGGACCGCCCGCGAGGCTGTTCAGCAAGCCCGAGAGTCCCAAAGGGGCCCAAGAGGGTTCCAAGACACCTGAGACGCATCCAGGAGAAACACAGTAGCCCCGAGATGGCCCAAGATGGTTCCACGAGAGCCGGAGAGGCATTCGCCGAGGGTGCCCCAGGAGGACGCTCAGGAGACTCTGTGAAGGCAAATGTCACGTTTATTAAAGATGAGTTGAATCTGTTTCGCTTTCCTGCACCTTCGGTCCCAAGAACGTTCGCGACGCCCCAGGGGCCGCTCCAGACGCCGCAGGATAGCCAGACAGGGCCCCACGAAGCTGTCCAGCGGACCCAAGGAGAGCCCCAAGAGGGCCCCAAAACAATTTCTAACAGCTGTCGGATCAGCTCCTAGAGACCTGGATGGCCAGGATCACCCCAAGTTTGCTCAAGATAGCCTCCAAACCAGCCCTTGAAGAGCCAAGACGCCTCCAGGGGGCCACGATCGCCTTAAGATGTATCAGAGGAGCTCCAACAGGACTCTGCGAGGGCCCTCTGGGGACCTCCCAGAGGCCATGGACACGCAAGTATAGTTGTTTTGCTATTTGGCTATTGGATAAGTTCAGCTTCCTCGGAGTGTCAAGAGCGTCCACGACGGCCCACGAGGCCTCCATTATCACTCCATGATGACTTGAACATTGGATGGCGGTATCACAGCAGGCAGAAGAGAGCCCAACGAGGGCTCCACGAGGCTTGCGCTTCCGAGGCGGCCAAGCTGGTCCAAATATGGCCCAACATTGCTCCAAGGGTTTTCGTTCACCTGTGAGATTGGCACATGTTTCCAGGGACCCGGGTGGCATACCGCCCCAGGTGTGCAGTTGTGTTACGGCCGGCGAGTAGGGCGCACTCACCTGAGCATTGACGCTGGTTTTCGGAGCCAACGTCATCAGACGCGAACTGGAGGACTAGCCTGATTTGGAGTTCAACCATTGTGCAGGGCAAGCCCAATGTGTGGGCGGGACTGGTCAAATTCTTGACGCTTCGCATGTCCCCACCAGCCCATCCAGACACGATCGGAGGTTTTCTTGAAGCCTTTTGGAGGCTATCGTGAGCCATGTTCGGCCAGAGACTGTCGGAGGCTATCCGAAGCCATGCACAGCTATCTTGGACCATCTTGAGGCTGGCGTGAGGCCTCTTGCAGGTCTATCGGAGGCTATCTTGAGCCATGCTCGACCTGCTGGGACCATCTTCGGGGAGGAGGCGGGAGGGGGAGGGGGAGGAGGAGGAGAAGAGAGAGAAAGAGGAGGAGGAGGAGGTGGAGGAGGAGGAGGAGGAGGAATGCGGTGCGATGAGGAGGAGGAGGAGGAGGATGAGAAGGTGGAGGAGGAGGAAGAGGAGGTGGGAGGAGGCAGGAAAGGAGGAGGGAAGGAACGGAGGTTGACAACGACGATGAGGAGTCGGGCTTTGGAGATACGTTGCTGTGAGAGGTTATTGAAGGACGATGAGGGCCATCTTAGGGGCTCTCTCAGGGCCCCCGTGGGGCTTCTTGCGGCACTCTTGGGGCCCTCTGGGGCCCCCTTTGGGGTTCATTGTGGGGGTCGCGGGGCCCTCTTGGGGCTCATTGGAGGGGTTTGGGGGGCCTCATGGGCCCATGGCTCAAAAAGAGGACGTGTCCTGAACTCATGTCCCCCCCCGTCGGGGAGTCAAAACTGACGTCTTGGGGCCCTTTTGGGCCGCTGTTGAAGCGCTCCTGGGCGCTCGTTGGGCCCTCTTGGGGCCCTCTTGGGCCTCGCTTGGGCCCCTTTTGGAGCTCTTCTTGGCAGTCTCGGGGCCATCTTGAGGCCTGAAAAGCCCATCGGAAGCGAAAACGCGAGAAGACAAACAAACATTGGGTTTCCCTAGTGTTTTGACTGATGTTGGTCTCTTGGAGTGTGCCATGACGGAGGCTATATTGAACCATTTTCGGCTACCGTGGGCCAATTTGAAGGCCAACCTGGGCTCTCAGAGGCGCTCTTGGAGCAATTTTGAGCAATCTTGTGCTCGCCAATGGGTCGCGCCCTCCCCCTCCAAGGCCCAGGGAAAGAGGTGAATTTGACAGAAAGAAATCATAACTCATTAAACCACCTACGCCCAGAGGGTTGGTGGGACTCGACCCGACGGGCTGCGCAGTTGACAGAGGCATTGTTTGTGCCCTTCAATGTCAACGACCGTTTGAACGTCGTCCGGCCACCTCTTCCTTACCGTTGTTAGCCCTTTTTCGTTTATCCGTCTTTCTCTTCCTTTCGGGGTCCTGTACCTATGCGCTTCTCCGAACTTTGGTATGCCCGTTTATGCACAGGCTGGCCAGCAGTACTTGCCCAAGCCAAGGAGATGCATTGTTCTCTGCTTGCGTCTGCGGTTGCATTCACCACTGGCGCCTCGTCGTATGTGCTTTGGCGGTGTCCCATCCATGTTCCATCCATGTCGACTCATCATTGAAACCGTCCCTTGATTGAGCAAGCTGGCCGCAACTGTTGGAAAGCGCGCCAGTGAGTGACCCTGTAATTCAAAAGGGGGGGGGTGCTCGCAGAACCCCCCCTTCCCACCTGCAAAGGGGGGTTGAGATTTTCGCCCCCCGCCCCCCCTCCCCCCCTTTGCGCCGAACAGGGTGCTGGGGAGGGGGCCTCTCCCGCAAGGGGGGTGTCTCGGGATAGTGAGTAGTGAGTAGTGAGTAGAGACTAGTGAGTCGTGAGCAGTGGGTACTGAGTAGTGGGTAGGTAGTAACGAGTAATGAGGAGTGAGTAGTGAGAGAAGTGAGTAGCGAGTATGGAGTAGTTCGCAGTGAGTAGTGAGTAGTGAGTAAGTAGTGTTTAGTGGGGAGTGGGGAGTGGGTAGAGAGTAGTGCGTAGCGAGTAGGTAGTAGCGAGACGTGAATAGTGAGTAGCGAGTACGGCGGAGTGAGTAGTGAGTAATGAGGAGGGAGTAGTCAGTAGTGAGTAGTGAGAAGTGTTTAGTGGGTAGAGGAGAGTGGGCTGTGAGTAGTGAGTATCGAGTAGGGAGTCGCGAGTGGTGAATTGTGAGTAGCGGCTAGGGCATTTTGAGTGGTATGTGATGAGGAGGGAGTAGTCAGTAGTGAGTAGCGAATAGGAAGTAGTGAGTAGCGAGTAGCGAGTAGTGAGTAGTGAGTAGTGGGTAATGGCGAGTGGGTAGTGAGTAGTTAGTAGCGAGTAGTGAATCGTGCGAAGTGAGTAGGGCATTGTGAGTAGTGGGTTGTGAGGAGGGAGTAGCCAATAGTGAGTAGGGAGTAGCGAGTACGGAGTAGCGAGGAGTGAGTATTGAGTAGTGAGTAGTGAGTAGGGAGTGGTGATTAGTGGGTAGTTAGAAGTGAGAAGTGGGTAGTGAGTAGCGGAGAGTGCGTAGGGAGTAGCGAGTAGAGAGTAGTGAGTAGTGAGTAGCGAGTACACAGTACCGAGTACTCTGTAATGACGTTTAACTGGTGAGTAGCGAGTACGGAGTAGGGAAGAGTGAGTACTGAGTAGTGAGTAGTGCGAAGTGGGCAGTGAATATTGTGTATCGGGTAGCGAGTAGGGAGTAAGGAGTAATGAGTGGTGGGTAGTGAGCAGTGAGTAGTGTGTATAAGGTAGGGATCAGCGAGCATCAGATAATGATTTGTGGGCAGTGAGTAGTGAGTAGTGAATTGTGAGCATTCAGTAGTGATTCGTGGAAAGTGGTTAGTAAGTAGTGAGTAGTGAGTAGTGGGTGATGAGTAGTGTCTAGTGAATAGTGAGTATTGAGTAGTGGGTAGTAAATAGTGAGTAGTGAGTAGTGTGTTGGGAGTAGTAAGTAGTGAGTAGTGAGTAGTGGGGAGTGGGAAGTGAGTTGTGGGTAGTGAGTAGTGAGTCGTGGGCAGCGAGCAATGAGTAGTGAGTAGTGTGTTGTGAGTAGCGAGAGTAGTGGGTAGTGGGTAGTGAGTAGTGAAAAATGGGTATTGAGTGCTGTTTGGGGCTAAGGTTAGGGCTTGGGGTTAGGGTTACGGGTGGTCGGGGTGGTAGTGTCCGGGGTGGTAGGGGTCGGGTTCCGGAGCCAGGGGGCGCCGTGGCGAAAGGGGGGAAGGGGGGGGAGGATCGGACCCCCCCCCTTTTAAAAGGAGGGGGGGGTCCCGACGACGGACCGGGAAAGGGGAAGAGGGGGGGGGGTCCCCGACGACGGACTGGGAAAGGGGGGGGGGGGGGGGGGGGGGGCGGGGGGTCCCCGACGACGGATCGGGGAAAGGGGGGGGGGGGGGGAGTCCCAAGCCCCCCCCACCCTTTGGGGCCATCCAGCGGCGCGCCCTCCAACTGTTGGTCCTCCCACATGGAGGGGTACTTTTGTAATATGCCCTTGCATGCAGCTCATCTTGACCGCGATTCGAAGGATGGCTGGGCGCCGGTGCCGAGACTGCCGTGGGACGCGGGCTGCGGCGCGGCGGTGACGCACTTGGCCAAGGGGTCCCCCTTCATGTCTGACGAGGTGGGAGTCGGGTGTGCACGTGCGTTTCTGTGTCTCGTTCCCTCACTGTGCGTGAGGCTTGGCATCGCTGGAACGTTTGTATTTTTTCGGCGGGGATCATGAGGGAGCATCCTGGATCTTCCTGCGAACAAGATAGAAGCACACACGAATTCGATGCATGCACGGAGAACGGACGTCCGAGCGACGGCGAGGCTTGCGCATCCCCCTATCGTTCCTCCCCTTCCACCTTCCACTCAGGTTCGCCTCCTCCCTCTCCCGTTCAGATGTGCCTGGCCAAGGTCCGCATGTGAGCCCAAGTTACCAGCACGTGCCACGTGCGACCGGAAACGCGCGTGGCGAAGTCACACGCCTGTCTTAGATCTGAGGGTGTCCAGCCGCCTGCGGCAATCCCCGCAACTGTGCCAGCCCATCATTCTATATGGCGATTGGTCGAGGGGCACGGGAGGCACTCACGTGCGACACCTCGTGTCACCAGGCGTGGGAGAGCAGTGATGAGGACGATGGGGATCATGAGGATTATGAGGATTATGAGGATGGTAGGGGTGCTAAGGAGGAGGAGGAGGAGGAGCAGCAGAAGGAGGAGGAGCAGGAGGAAGAGGAGGGAGAGACTTTCTGTCACATGTAACCCCTGTCGTATTCACCATGCGACGAGGTATCATGGAAGTCGTTTGGGCCGTCTTGGGGCTGTCTTGGCATTATGTGACGCAATCGTGGGGGTTCCGTAGGGCCCTCTTGGGCCGTTTTGGGGCCCTTTTACGTTGTCTTGGGGCACTCTTGGACCATGTTGAGGTCCTCTTGGCCGCATGGTGGGTGTTTGAGGGTAGGGTAGGCCTTCTATGGCCGTCTGGGGTCCCACGAAAAGACCTCTTAGGCCGTCTTTGGGTCGTATTGGATGTACCTTGAGCCAGCGCGGGGTCCTTTTGGGCCATCTCGGAACCCTCGTCGCGGCCTCTTGGGCCGTCTTGGGGCCATCGCGGGAGCTTCTTAGGCCATCTTGAGCTAACGGGAGCCCGACAAGGTGAGAAAGCGAAACATTTTCAAAAACCCGGGGACAATCAATGATTGGCATAGCTCGGACCTTGTTGGGGGTCCTCTTGTAGCGTTGTGTGGCTCTCTTGAAAGCATATTGGGCAGTCTTGACTCCAAATCCGCCTTGAGGCCATCTCGGGATATCTTCGAGGCATCTTGGGTCATCTTGGTTGCCTTGGTTGCCTGGCTGGGCCTTTCTGTAAGCTCCAAACCCAGATACAGCGTTTTCGAGGGATTGTGGCCTCGGGAGCGACGTTCATAGTTTTTGTTTACGCGGGAACATAGCCTCGGGAGTAGGGGGGATGCACGCGGCGGTTTGCGAGTAGAGGTGAGGGCCTTACTAGAATACAAAAACACCCTACCCGACAGCAATTGGCATTCTACCACATCCCAACGTGCCAGGTGGCACGACGGCGGCTTCTTATTACAGTCAGTTGAATTTTGCTGCTAGTGGGATTCCAGACGTCTTTTTTGTCTCTGAGACTTCCATCGTAGCAAACCTCCACTTGATTTTCGTTCCTCGCTTTGTTCTGAGCCCTCGTAGCTGTCGTTTCGTCGGGTTCGGTCCACGTCGCGAGCGCAGTGCCGGCCCTCGTCCCCGACGCCCGCGCGTCCCCGACCGCCGCACCGCGTTCGCCCTGGCCTGGTCTGGCGGCGGGCGCGGGCGCAGCTCACGCGCCCTGCATCCGCGCTCCGAGCTGCCATGCCGCACTGCGAAGCGCGGTCCTTTTGCGAATGCAGCGCGGCCGCATGGCTGCGGGTCGCTGCAATACGGAAGTCGTGCACGAGCCTCGTGGAGCTGGGCAGAAGCCGACCGGTGCACAGAGCTCTTGGGAATGCCGGCGCCCACCAACGGCGCGCAGGGAAACGGTGGTGCACCGAAGAGTCCGCTCAGCCATGCCTGCCAGCAAACGAATCTGCAGCGACTGAGTTCGGGGATGCTCGCGCGACCCAGAGCACTCGAAGAAAAAGGCGTCAGGACCGGCAGGCAAGGGGGGCGCGCGCAAGTTGTGAGAAGAATTCGCCATGTACCCCCTACCACGGCGCAGCGAGAGGCACAGACCAATATGCTCGCACCACTAGAAGGAGATTTCTAGTAAGGGCACAAGTGCAACTTCGCCGGAGAACAAGAAACGCAGACGCCTCACACAAACGTGATTTCCCAGAACGCTCGTCCGTGGAAGGCCGACTTGGCCCTAGTAGTGACGCACCCTACATTCCGCCGCGGTCCCCTGGCGAGACGAAGAAGCATCCTGCAAGCGGCAAGCCCGAAACAGGGAGCCCTTGAGACAGTTCTGTCGCGCAAACCACCCCAAGACCGTAGGGGAAAGACCCGCCGCCGAAACTGGCTCGTGGCCGCCAGCGGTCGACTTCGAGCGGCTCAGACCGAGGGCGTCCAGGTACGCCCGCGCGAACGCGTGTTCTCTGATGGTCAATGCTGCCGTCCCCGAGGTCCCCCGAGATCCTCGCTGCGTCCCCCCGACCTTTTCCTTTTTCCGGGGGGGGGGGGGGGCGGAAAGGCGCGGAATGCGGGGGGGAGGTGCAAGCCCGAAACAGGGAGCCCCTGAGACAGTTCTGTCGCGCAAGCCACCCAATGCGGTCAATGCCGCCGCCTTTTTTTCCAGGGGGGGGGGGGGGGCGGAAAGGCGCGGAACGCCGGGGGGGAGGGGCGGAGCGAGCGTTGACGCCCACGCCAGTGGGCACCCATCGGCTCAGCACCCTACGAGGTCGCTTCGGCAGGCAGGGGGGCGGCCGTCTGCTGAGCACTCCACGAGGTCGCCTCCACACGCGGGAGGGCGACCTCCTGCCAAGCACTTCACGAGGCCACTTCCCCACGCAGTTTTGCTACGCATTCTACGAAGTCGCCCCCCCATGCAGCAGGGAAACCTTCTCCTGACCCCTTGCCGAGGTCTTTCTCCCACGCGGAAGGGCGACCTTCCGCTACGGCGATTCAATTTGTTCCCACGCGCCCCGATGCCCGCACCACGCAACACCCGTAGTGACGCCCGCTGCCTGCATGGTGCTGTGCTAGATGCGCGTATGCGCCGCGTGGTAGGTCACGCCAGCGCAGCATGGGGCGTTGCAGCTCGCCCCGCTGGCTGCAGCCCCAACCCCGGTGCGTTTTCGGAGCACCAGACTCGGCAGGCACGGGGCTCGCACTGGCGTCCGCCTCCAGATCGAGACTCCAGTGGGCCGCAACGGGCCACCCCCGCGCCCGCCCCCGATGAGGTGCCGGCCGCGGGACCCCGCAGCCAGGCGCTGGTCAGAAGCCCCGCAGGAGCGTCGAGGTCAAGAGAGCCATCCCCGGACGCACGGGCAGCAGGGCAACCCGCTGCTGGGAGGTCGGGCCCGTGCACCTAGGGCTCATTGACTTCGTTCATGGATGCCCCATCTTGGTGTCGGATGTTTCTTGTTGATCCTCTCCGTCGCTTCACGATTTCGCGTCTCTCGTTGCATTTCTTTTTACGGCTGTATATGATTTTTATTGCGGTTGCCATTCATATTTGCGCTTGGTTCGCGAATATCATTTTTGAAATTGCAACTTTGTCCTGTCCATCAGCGATGCGAGCGCCTTGAAGCGCAAGATGTGCTCGCAGTTCGATTTCCGCAGAAGTTCATTTTCCACGCCTTGAAGAAGTCCTTCAATGTCAACTGCGTGAAGTCTCTCTTCATCAACTGTTGAAGGTGGCCAAGCGCCTCCTCATTTTGAGAACTCGCCCCACCCCCACAAAATGTGGCGTTGTTGTTTTTGGGCCCTGGGTGGGGGCCCGGGGCGAATTGAACCCAAACGAGGCCCATGCCTATGGGTTCTTAGGCGGATGTGTGCTTTAGCTTTCGTGTTCGACCTGCGTTTGCTTTCAGCGGTAACCCCGCTGGGGCAACGGGGTGGGCCTTGGGTCCATTTTGGACTCCCCCTGCTCTTTCTTTTTCCTTTCCTTCTTACTCCACGCCTTCCGCCTGAGGATCCAACGCTCGACCGCGGCGGCATTTGCGCGCGGCGGCGTGGACTAGACTAGGGAGGGGCCGCGCTCGCGCTCTCTCTTCCTCCCTCTGATGCTGCCATTGCAAAACAATCAGATGTGTTTCTTTTGGTTTGCCGCCCTCGCCATCGCGGTTGGACGCGAGCTTGAAGTTACGAGCGAGAACCTGGCCGCCTTCAAAGGCGAGCCAGGGCCCAGAAAACCCACTGGGTGAAGGGGCACGTTGGCCCTGTGGATGAGGCTACCCCGAGCAAGCTTGGACCGTCCTGGGCGCTCTTGATACCGAACGGGCGATATTCTCAAAACCGCTTCAAAGCCCAAAGGATCTGGCGCATCGGAGGCCTCTTGGGCCCTCTTGAGGCCATCTGAGGCGTCCTGGAACGCTCTCGGGCCGTCTCGCGCGCCTACCTCTTGGCCATCCAGGCGGCCTCCGGAGGGACGGACACGATGACCATGCCCAAGACTGAACGCGGAAACGTCGGTGTGGACCGTATCGGGGTGGCCCAGAGGGGGGTGATGACTAAGGGGGGGTGGATATCATGGCGGGGGTCATGATAGCTCCCCAGATTTCATGGTGCCTTTTCTTATTCCAATGCGTCCCCAGCATCCCCACCCCCCTGGGCCGCGCAAATGCCACCGGCCATGATTTGCGCCTCCCCCTCTTGGACGCCCCCCTCTTGGCCGCCCCCGAACTTAGCGCGGAAACGTCGGTGTGGACCTTGGTCATCGCCCATGTGGTCATCGTCAATTCGTGGATCGCCCTCGCGAACCCGCGACTGCCGGCACGGACCATGACCAAGATCGGCGTCGACAAGATCCTGTGACATGTTGGTCATGTCCTTCGCGTGACTTCTTTCGATGTCTGTCATTCCTTATGGTGTTACCTTGATTGTACTTCTCTTGGCTTCCTAGATAAGGTTGGACTACATGGAGTCGGGGGATCGCGCCGCATCGCCGCCGATGCATGGTTGGGGGTCTGCCATTGGGGATCATGGTCGTATTTTTTGTGAGCCTGTCGGGAGTTCTTGGGCTTTCTTGGGGTTTGGTTTTCTTTCATGTTCATCTGACATTGGCGGCGAACCCAGGGTGGAAGTGACAATGGCCGGCCTTTTCACAAGGCGGCGGGGGTTCTCAGACACCTCTTCGCCTTTTGAGAGCCCCTTTCTGTCTTCGGAGCAGGCCCAGCAACTTGTCAGAAGGCCAGAGGCCTTCCGAGCCTTCTGAGAGGGTCCGCCCGCCGTCAAGTCATCACCGGTTCCCCGATTCCCCCTTCGACATGTGCCGACCCTCCCTTACTGCAGTAGCCTGACTGCGTCCCCCCCCCCCCCTCGGCAAGGGGCCTCTCCCGGGCTGGACCGTGGCCGCCCTGGAGCAGCGCCACGGCGAGGAGCCCGTCCACGTCGAGCCGATGGCGCCGCGCAGGCAGCCGGGGCACGCCGCCGCCGCCGCCCACGCCGCCGCCGCAGGTTGGAAGGTCGAGGTCCCAGTGGACCACCGAGCGCGTTCCACTGCTCGCAGCGTGCCCACTCGCAAACGTCGAGCAGACAGACAAAAGCAATGTCTGCCCCGATGCGATGCAGCCTGTTTGGCCCGATGCAATGGGCCCAGGCCTTTGGCAAGTAGCAACTTTGCGAGTGGTGGAAAGCTCAGGAGGGGAAAAAAGAAAACACAGACACCATTCATCGTCGATTCCCCAGAAAATATGGGAAAGTATGGGAAATGAGGGGGGAAGACAAAAACCCAGAAAATATGTGAAAAATTGCGGGAAACCGGTTATTTGTGCGTATTCGTGTGTGTGTATTTGTGTATGTGTGTGTGTACGTGTGTACGTGTGTACGTGTGTACGTGTGTGTGTGTGTGTGTGTGTGTGTGTGTGTGTGTGTGTACGTGTGTACGTGTGTACGTGTGTACGTGTGTACGTGTGTACGTGTGTACGTGTGTACGTGTGTACGTGTGTACGTGTGTGTACGTGTGTACGTGTGTACGTGTGTACGTGTGTACGTGTGTACGTGTGTACGTGTGTACGTGTGTACGTGTGTACGTGTGTACGTGTGTACGTGTGTACGTGTGTACGTGTGTACGTGTGTACGTGTGTACGTGTGTAGTGTGTGTGTGCGTGTGTACGTGTGTAAGTGTGTACGTGTGTACGTGTGTACGTGTGTACGTGTGTATGTGTCGTGTGTACGTGTGTACGTGTGTACGTGTGTACGTCCGTGTGTCGTGTGTCCGTGTGTGGGTGTGTGTGTGTGGGTGTGGGTGTGTGGGTGCGGGGTGCGTGGGTGCGTGCGTGGGTGCGTGGGTGCGTGGGTGCGTGGTGCGTGCGTGCGTGCGTGCGTGCGTGCGTGCGTGCGTGCGTGCGTGCGCGTGCGTGCGTGCGTGCGTGCGTGCGTGCGTGTTTGTGTGTTTTTGTGTTTGTGTGTTTGTGTGTTTGTGTGTTTGTGTGTTGGTGTGTTGTGTGTTGGTGTGTTGGTGTGTGTGGTGTGTTGGTGTGTTGGTGTGTTGTGTTGGTGTGTTGGTGTGTTGGTTGTGTGTGTTGGTGTGTTGGTGTGTTGGTGTGTTGGTGTGTTGTGTGTGTGTTGGTGTGTGGTGTGTTGGTGTGTTGGTGTGTTGGTGTGTGTGTGTGTGTGGGTGTGTGGGTGTGTGGTGTGTGTGGGTGTGTGGTGTGTGGGGTGTGTGGGTGTGTGTGGGTGTGTGGGTGTGTGTGGGTGTGTGGGTGTGTGGGTGTGTGGGTGTGTGGGTGTGTGGGTGTGTGTGGGTGTGTGTGTGGGTGTGTGTGTGTGTGTGTGTGTGTGTGTGTGTGTGTGCGTGTGTGTGTGTCAGGGCCCCTCCAAAAGCGCTTGTCCAGTGGAGGCCTCGGAGGCAGGTCGCAGGGGGCGCCTCGCCGCCGCCGCCGCCGCCGCTGCGGCGGCAGGGACGAGGCGCCCCTCCTTGGGCCCGTGCAGCGGGGCGTCCGCCCTCCGCCTCCCCCCTCGTGGTCGTCGGAGAGGCAGGGGCGCTCTCGAGAGCGCGAAGTTCTTCGCGCTTCGCAGTTCGGCTCCGATGCCTCATCCTCCTCTGCTCCCCTGGGAGGCGGCGCGAGAGCGCGAGGTCGTTCGCACTTCGCGCTCCGCGCAGCGCGAAGCGCGCAGTCGGGAGCCCTTGAGGAGGGGAGGTGAGGGTGAGGAGTGGGGGGCAGAAGCTCATGGCAGGGACCACGCAAGCTTCCTGATTTCCCTGCCCCCTCTCTCTCTCTTTTCATGCCTCCTCTGCCCCCCCCCCCTCGTTCGCGCACGTGCCTCGAGTCATGATGCGTTAACTCTCTCTTGCTGGCTCCCGTCGGCGCACCTGGCCTCAATCCCTCCTCAGTAGCCCCCACACAAGAATTTTCGAGCTGCCTCGGGCAATTCCGCCACAGTGCCAGCGCGACATTCTAGGTGGCAGCTATCCGAGAAGGCAAAGGGACCTGCTGAGGGCCTCTTGAGGCAAAAGGCTCGAATTCTAGGTTCGCCCCTCTTGGGCCCTTCTTGGGGCCGTCGTGGGGTCTTCTAGTGCAGTCGTAGGAACCCTCTGGGGCCGTCTTGGAGCTTTCTTGGGGGCCTCTTGGACCATCTCCCAGGGGAGTTTGGGGGGCCTTTCGGGCCGTCTTCGAGCGTCGGAAGTTCGAAAAGGCGAGCACCCACAAAGCATATCATGGCCTAAGGAATCAGGCATACTCATGGAGCTGCACACGAAGGCGAGGGGTGGAAGCAGCAGCTCGTCCCTACTCCTTCGGGTCCATGTCCAACGCATCTGCGAGAGTGGAAGCCTGAGCCGTATGCTTCTCTTATCCTTGTTTCCCCCCTCCTCCTTCTCCTCCTCCTCATCATCATCATCATCATCATGCAAACTGGAGGGGGACGGCGAGGGAGTGCGAGGATGAGGACCGGAGATGGAGAGGAAGTGGGCCGAGGAGAACGAGAGGTAGGGAGGGATGGGAAGAACGAACAGTGATGCATGGGAGAATGCAGAAGGCCTGCCCCTGTCAAGCGGGTGCTCCCTGGAGCTCTCGCGGTGTCGGGACGCATGGCGGGAGCGGAGAGGGGAGAAGCGTGGTACTTGCAGGAATGGTACGGTGGGAAGAGCGCGAACCTGGATAAGAGCGCGGGAGACTTCCTCAGAAGGAGAGAAGCGCGGTACTTGCAGGAGTGGCACGGCGGGAAGCGTGCGAGCCCGGACAAAACAGCACGAGAGCACGGCATGCGGCAGGGCCCGCGCCGTGCAGAGGTCGGCCGGGGGGGGGGGGGGCACGAGCTCTGCTGTGCACGAGGCGGCGTGCGCACCGCCCGCGCTCGGGCCGGCACGGCGGCACGGCCTCCCCTGGAGGGGAGAACGGCCTCCCACGAGTCGCCCACACTCCGGTGCGGCGCGGGCCGGGCGAAAGGGGGGGATTGGGAAAGGGGGGGTTACGAAATTTGCTGCGTGCAGCTGGTTTCGGCCCCAGGTTTACTATCAAAAATCTTGGTCGTATCCGCGGTGGTCGTGGCCATAGTCGCTGTGCTGGCCGTGACCTTCTTATTATAGTTCGTTGCGTTGAGTTTTTAGTGGTGCTATTATAGCCATCATAATTCGACAGGCTGACAACGAAAGAACGTAACCGAGGGGGCCCTTCTTCGATACATTAGCTCCCTCCGGCGCCGGGAGGCGCCGGGAAAATCAGCTACGCGAGCTGATTCTCAAACCCACCTTTTGCTATCCCCCCCTTTCGCCCGAGCCGAGTGAGGCGCACGGAGAGGGTCACGCGGGACGGCCCAGGCCACTGTGGGCTGCGTCCGGTGCCTCACCAGGCAGCGTGCTGGGGCGGGAAGGGCGCGGAGCCCTGTAAGGTTGAGGGCGCCCTCGAGGGCGCGAAGTTCTTCGCGCTTCGCGGTTCGGCTCCGATCCCTCCTGATCCTCCTCTGCTCCCCTGGGAGGCGGCGCGAAAGCGCGAAGTTATTCGCACTTCGCGCTTCGCGCAGCGCGAAGCACGAAGTTGGGAGCCCTTGCAACGTGCAGGGTTTGCGAGAACCCAGCCAGCTCTGGCAGAGTCTCCCTGGAGGGGTGGAAAGGGGCACGGAGCTTCGTAAGGTCTGCGAATGCAATGCCCGTTCTGGCGGGGCACCCCTGGAGGGGTGTGAGGGGCACGGTATTTGGTAAATCGTATAGTTTGCAAATACCCTACCTGCACTGGCGGGCCCCCCCTGGAGGCGGGAGGGGCACGACACCTCGAAAGTAGTATCGTTTGCGAGTACCCTGGAGGGGTGGAAGGAGGCCTGGAGGGGTGGAAGGAGGCCTGGCACCTTGTAAATAGGTTCGGTTGCGGATACCTCGCCCGCTCTGGCGAGTCCTCCCTGGACGTGGGGGGGCACAACAGTTGGTAGCATGGTATTCGAATACAATGCCCGCTGTGACGGAGCCTCCCTGGAGGGGAGGGAAAGGCACAGAACAAGGGGTGGGAGGGGTTAGGGCCTTGTTAATAGTCTGGTTTGCGAAAACCCGACTCGCTATGGCGGGGCCTCGCTGGAGGGGTATGAGGGCGCGAAACCTTGCACAATGTATGGTTTCGGATGCCCTGCGTGGTCTGGCTGGGCCCCCCCTGGAGGGGTGGACGCGGCACGAAGCTTTATAAGTAGTATGGTGTTCGAACACCGTGCCCGCTCTGGTGGGGCATCCCTGGATGGGTGTGTGGGAGGGGCACGGCAACGTGCAAATATTGCATTCGAATGCCTTGCGTTCTGGCGCGGCCTCCCTGGAGGGGCGAAAAAGGGGCACAACGCCTAGAGACTAGTATGGTTTTCGAATGCCCAGCCCGCTCTGGCGAGGCAGGTGGGAGGGGCACGACACTGTGCAAATAGTATGGTTGTCGAATACCATGCCCGCTCTGGCGGGCCCTCTTTGGAGGGGTGCGAGGGGCACGGGACCTTGTAAGTATCGTGGCGTTTGAATACCCTGCATGCTCAGGCGGGGCCTCCTGGAGGGACGGGAGCGGCACAAAGCCTTGCAAATACGATTGTGTTCGAATACCCTGTCGTTCTGACGAGGCCTCCCTGGAAGGGTGGGAAGGGCACGGAACCTTGTAGATACTATGGTACGATGGTGTTCGAGTACATTGCGCGGTCTGGCCGGGTTTCTTCGGAGGGGTGGAAGGGACACGTAACCTCGTAAATGGTATAGTTGTCGTGAACATGAGAGTGACGAGGCGCGGTAAAGGTCTGTTCGTCGCGCTCGCCCCTATGCACACAGGGTGGCGAGCGGACATACTTCGCTTGCCACTGCAGGAAACGCCGACGGATAAGGAGCAGCCGGAGGGAGGAAGAGGGTGGTATTTGCCTCCTTTTCCTCCTCGTCATTTTCCTCCTCATCATAGTTCCTCGTCCTTTTCCTCCTCCTCTTTTTCTTCCTCTTCCGTATCCATGTTGGCTCAAGATGACTTGTTTCGGGTGCGTTTAGCCTCCGAATTTCCAGGGCATGCCCTTGCCAGGGCGGGCAAGGCGCTTGCGTCTGGCACCAACGTGTGCGGTCCCAGGGACGCGTACCCCTAGAGCCTAAGAGTTCTCGCATCCCGTTGTTCGTCAGCCGGCTATCACGATGGCAGGCAGCGGCGGTGCGGGTTGCAGTCGCCCTTCGGCTCGGCTGCTGCCCGCCGCCGCCGCCGCCACCCCGGGGAGCTGTTCCACCCTGACCAGACTTAGCTGGAACCCCATATTTTTGGTCTTCCGCGCGCGCCTTGGCAACAGCATGTTGCGGCGTTCGGGCCCCAGGGTGGCATTGTGTCCTGCACGCCCAAGTGCTCGCACATCCGCATTGTGGGCATGTTCGCTTCGTCGCAGGTGGCGCCATGGGCACAGGACTACCTTACCAAAGAGCTCGCCACTTTGCGTGGTCACTATCACAAGCTGGGGGCCGAGAAGAATAAGCTTAGCAAGCTGGTCAAAGAGAAGGCGAAGTGTATTGCGACACCGGCGTCAGGAACTGGTGATCGAGCCATGGACGTCGATGGGGGCGACGGCGAGGCGATGGCGACGGAAGACACGAGCACGAAGAGGTCTGGAATTCAGGCGCGCATCGTGCACCACGAGCAGCATATCACGGCGATCGGACAGTATGAGGGCGCAGACATTGATGAGGTCACATCGGCGAAGGCGCAGCTGGAGTCGTTGCACGGGCAGTTTCGCAAGCTGCGTCCGCCGCAGACGGCTTACAATATCGCTTTGCAGAAGTCGGAGCGGCGCAGGCCTGAGCTGGACCGAGCCCGAGCAGAGGCAGGAGGGCATCGCACGAAAATCAACATCATGCAGAAGGAGCTCAAGGCGAAGGAGGCGAGCACCGCTGCGAAGGAGGCGGAGGTCCGCGCTCTCAACCACGGGGCGGGGCGCAGCAGCGTCAGCTGGTCTTGGAACAGAAACGTAGAGAGACAGCAGCACTTTCTGGACCCGCTTCGGCTGAAGGCCAGCCCGCGCGGCCCGACTTCTTGTAGCTGGGCATGCCCGAGTTGAAGGACCAGCCTGATCTCGAGCATTTCTACGCGCAGTTTCACGCGGACGCGCGATTCGCAGGCCCCTAGACGGCGTTGACGAAGCATGCGCGGGCACCACGACCTCGACCTGCTGCGCGTCCTGAGATTGCCGCTTGCGCTACTCAGCCTGCTCTGCGTCTCCGCGCGCTGGCGGAGGTAGCGGCGACCCGCAGGTACCAACAGGTGGCGGCGCTGACCGTCGCGACTCTGTCAAGCGGGGAGCGGCGAGCCCATGCGCATGGGCGACGTCAAGCGCACGCGCGAGGCGCTCGAGGCAGGGGGCGCCGCGGGCGAGTCCGAGGATGCGATCCTCGACCGGTCTCGCGTTCTCGCTCGACAGCTTCACACAGCAAAGAAGAGAAGGGCAATGCCGAGCCCGCAGCCGGTGGACAGCCGAGTCTTTGACACCGCCCCGCGCGCCAGCGGGCTGCGGCTACGCGCCGGAGCAGCGCCGCCCACGCCAATGCCAGCGAGCCCCATGCGACCGCACATCATCGAGACTCTCAACGCTGACCAAGGTAAGAGCACGCTTAAGCGCAGGCTGGACAGGTCAGCGGCGCTTCATGCGCCAAGAGTTCGGTTACTTCGCGTAGGAGGTGGAAGAGCTTCAGTCTTGGGCAGGCGCTCGAGTTTGGCAAGTTTTGGCAGTGCCGGGTCGTCGGGAAGAGGGTCGCCTCCCATCCGCTGGCGTTGCAGTATTTACGAGGTTTTCTATTGGACGACGGTAGCTTTGTTGGACATCATCTGCTTCAGTGCCCCATCGAGCACTGCATGCCGCCGCTGATTCCACATGGCTGGGAAGCGAGCAAGTTGCATAACATGCACAAGTGCACCGCTGAGGGCACGGCGGCCCGGGGCGCCAAGATCTCGCGCGCGAGCGGCCTGGGCGCGCCAGGCAGCATCGAGCCGCGCATCGTCGGAGGAGACTGGAACATGGCGGCGGCCACTGCCGAGGAGCCCACCTCCCCTGCGAATTCGAATGTCTGCTTGGCGGCGCCCAGCATGAAAATGAGCGGGGCCCCGATGTCGCGTTCTATCAGTGGCTGTTTTGCGCGGAGTACGGCGGCCGCGCGATGCTTCGAGAACATCTACGCCGACGTCGCATGGGCCATCGATACTCGTCGGCCGGTTCAACTTGAGCTTGCGCGCGACGGCCAGTCACTGCGGCACCTGGCGCATAAGTTTAGGGGCCTCATCTCGGCGAGGACATTGGCATCTAAAGGCAACCTACGCGGACCAAGCGCGACGACTTGCGAAGGCAGATCGAGCCGATGGGGCTCGGCGTTCCTTCCCAGGAGCACGGGCGCAGGTCATCTGCGAGCGGCGGACAGGCCGGCGCGCTCTGCTGGCACGGAAGTTCGCGACATCGACGCCCGCGCGAGTTCGCCGGCGCCCAGGTGGGCGCGGGCAAGTTACGAGGCGAAGGACCTGGTGGCTGTTCAAGCTCGGGTTGAAGGCTGGAAGTGGCTCAGCGGCCCCATCGCCTTCCACGCTCAGCCGAACGGCGCGGATGATCAGAGGGCGAAGTCGATTTTCCAGGAGGGGGCCATCGCTTCCCAGATGTCAACTACTACGGCCAAGCAAGACCACGCAGGTCGGATGCGACGGCGCTGGCTGCAAGACGGCCGGCCCAGAGTGCCTATCCAGGCTGGCGCGTGGAGGGGGTTGCAGAAGGATCGGGGCGACGCTTCGAATTCGGCGAATCAAGAGGCCAGGCGAAACATTGCGACGAAGTGGACAGCTTGTTGCGATGAAGCTAGTGCTGGAGGAGCTCGAGGACTCCATGGTCCAACCTTGCTCTGCGATATCATCAATCCTGAACAGCGGGAAACCGACCCCAGCCTTACAACTATGAATTTAAAATGCCAGCGTTTTGCATGTATGGCGAATCTGCGCAAGTGTAGGCGCCCTGTCGGCGAGGTCATTGCCAGCCGCCGCGGAGGGGGGGCCCGCGCGCGCGGCGACGCCCCGAGCCCACTCGACGCGGCCGCGCCCGCGCCGGCATTCCCAGGGCCGCGCGCGCCACGGCCGCAGCGCGCAGGTCGAGGCGACGCCGGCGCTGTCCCTCGCACGGCAGCGCCGCTGGCCCAGCCAAGGGCCCCCGCCCCCGCCCCCGTCGCCCCCTCGCAACCCGCCGACGGAACATTTTAGATCGGGGGCGTTTCTCCTTAGGCAACTGTTCCAATATAATGTTTTTTGGGGTCTGCAGCAGAAGCGTGCCACGTAGTCCTTCTTATACGGGGGCCTCGGATATGGGCACGTGGGCGGCGCCCAATCCAGCCCAGCGCGCGCGCGCGCCCGATCGTCGGTCCTACCCTCGCGCGAGCCCCGAGCATAGCGCGCGCAGTTCCGCGCCAACGACGCCCAGCAGTTTGGCCGGGATACACGCGAGGGCGTCGTTTCTCAGCGACGCAGCGTCGGAGGTTCCCCGCGCTTCGCGGGGGCCCGCGAGTCACTGGGACTTCCCCTCCGGAGCAGTTGCACAGGATCTTCGCCGACGCCACCCAATCCGCAAGGAGGTCCTCGACCCACCGCGGCGCATGCGTCACGCCACCGCGCCCGGCAACGAGCCAAGTTTTTGGATCGCAATGTCTGGGGCCCGCCCACTGGGAGATCCGCTATAGATAGCGCGCAGGTCTTAGCGGCGCGATCAGAGGCTGAAGTCACCTATTAGTCGCACACCGCAACGCCCACGGCAGATTTCGCGAAGTTCTACGAAGAGATCAACATAGGCGGACCGCAGTTCGAGTTCGACGGCATGAACGCACCCCTTGGATACGAAACTGGCGTTTAATGTTTGGCGCGGTCCAAGGATCATTCGGTCTCAGCGGCATCATTGATTAGTACCAGGTCGTGCTACACACAGCGCTCCTGCAGGCGATGGAGTTGGCGACGTGGTCATCAATGTCCGTGCGGTTGCAGAATATGACCGATATGTTAGTCTACATGCGCCAGCGGCTTTCCCATCATACATTGATGACACTGCAGTTGGAGTTCATCGCCGCGACGTTGATGAAGTTGTGGAGCGCGCAGTTCGGGCTGCCCGTGACTTGCAAGCAGTTGCTAAGAGGTTGGGTTCACGGACCAATGATAAGATTGCGATAGCGTCGTCTGGTGTACGGCGGGCAAGCGCGATGCCCAGCGGCCTCGCGAGTGGCCCCGCATTTGCGGCTCGATTTCCCCGTGGGCCGCACGAGGCGAACACCTGGGGCCCGAGCGCGCCAGCGAGTACGCGCCTCCAAACATGCACTGCGGCCCCGGGAGATGCGAAGGTACAAGCGATCACTACCTACGATGCAGGGCACCGTTCGGACATATCCATCGTATTGACGCACGCCCTGCATGCATTTACGGAGCTGAAATCAGTGGGTTTCGAGATGTTGAACTTGCCGATTTGCGCCGCAGCACCTCGCGCAGACTACGCCGTAGCGCGGTGGAAATTCAATTATTGCGAGGTTAGCTGTAATGGCCGATCCAGCAATCAGGCAGTCGACTGCGCCTGTGTTGCAGTGGTGTCGCATGCTGCGGGGAGCGGCTGCGACCTGCGAGAGCAATAGTGCCCAGAGCTGCTTGATTGCTGCGGCGCGGTACTTGCCCTGAGGCCGACCTGCCAACTGGAGTTTATCAATGGGGGCCGTTGGAGCGAGCAGCACTTCGCAGTCAGCGCGCGGGCTGGACAGCGCGCAGTGGAGCCCAGTCGGGAGATCACCTTGGGCTGGGCGCTCGCGCTGACCATGTGTCGCCGCCAGTCCGCGAGGACCAGGCGACGCAGGCCATGCAAGAAATGCCGAGGCTGAATCGTGCGGGGAAGCTTGAGCTACGCGAAGGCGCGCGCGTTACTTGCGGCGTGTTGGAGAATGCGATTCGCCCCAGAGGTTGTAGACGCACCGCCTATGACGCGCGCTCGATCCGTCCGCGCGCGCGCCAGGGCATCCAGCCGCGGACGCGAGCAAGGAGCAACGGCTGCGACACTAGAGGTCACTGTGGTTTGGGACGGCCAGCTGCGCTTCATTACCGGGTCTGTTTGTGTGCGAGAGGCGATGTTGCTGCAGCTCGTAGCGATCGCCAAGTAAGTGAGAATGTCATTCGAGAAGCTGCTGGAGCACCTGCTGACTTGCGGTATGCCACTAGAGCAGCTACTTATCACGAGGGCGTGCTGATCTAGATGGCGGTATTCAAGTGCGCGCAGTTGGTTACCATGGTAACGAGGTCGATTTAGATCCCGAAACTATGTGTGCAATACTGAACGCGAATGCTGAGACAGCAGAGTTTGTTGTGGATGGTTCCTGTTCTGTGCAAGTCTTGGAAGTATTACGGCGTGCTGGATTGGCAGTGTTACGACTTGGCCCTGACGGTGCGGTTCCATTGAGAATTATGGACGGTTCAGTGCCAGCAGCGCTGCCACACAGGTCAGGTCTAAATATCTGTCCGTGGCGTATGTTGGACAAGCTGCATATCGAGATCCAACCGTTCATGTTGACTACATGGCTGCTCTTCGTGAGGATGGCAGGACACCAAGTGCGCAGCTGAGGTCGCCAGCGCATTATACATCTGCGAAGTTATTCGGCTAAAGCATACCTGGGTGCATTTTTGCGGAGGAGGTCTTCCACGTCAGGGCCCACCGAAATCATGAGGAGGATTTGCAGCTTGCTCCAGCACAGCAGAGGTTCACGGATGGGAACATAGCCGCGGACGTCTACGCGAAGAAGGCTGCGAAGATCCACCAGCCAGCGCGCGTAGTGCTCGCAGAGCAGGTACACGAGAGGGGGCCGCTGGACAACAAGGTTCATTCAGCTGGCTGTCGCCATCCTTCCCCTGTTCGAGAAAGAGGAGAGGTGGTCTCGGGTGAACGATGCGAGGTCTCGCGTGAGTGCCCAGAGAGTGGCCCGGCACACTTGGCAGCACACAAGGATCGGCGAGCAGTGTAGTAGTGCCTGTGCGTCGCTATGGCCCCAGTGAGAAGCACCTATCTGGATGCAGTTTTCGGCCGAGTTGTTTCAGAACCCACTTGGGCACGTTCTGGTAGCTGTAAATCGAGGGAGTCAGTCGCCTGCTGGCCCACAGCGTGCGAACCCAATGTATATTTGCACTAGATGTGGCGCCTGGGCTCAGCAGTCCAGGCGCAAAAAAGCAAGACGATGGTGTGAGCCCCCTACTAAGAAAAGGCTTGGAGTGCTGGCTGATCTTCGGGAATGCGTAGGACCCCCCATAACAGGCTTGCGCATCAGATCGAAGCCGTCTCTTCGACTGCCCACTAACATATTTGTGCCGCAGAGAGGCGGCCAGTCTGAGATCAGTCGTGTCGTCGTCCCGTCGTCTGAGGTCGTGTCGTCCGAGGTCTCGTCGCTCGAGGCTCTTCTATGGCCGCTCTCGCTGAGCGAATCCACCTGAAAGAGCAAACACGTTAGCTCTTCTCAGGTTGGCAAAAGCGCCGGAAGTTGTGCCTCGAATTGCACGCGCTGGGGCCACAGACTGCCAGCGTTTTTGGTTGAAGCCCCGACCGCGCTGAATTTGTCATTCGTTCATTTCTCTTCCTCCTCCCTGTCCTCCTTATCCTCCCTCTTTTTCTGGCCGCGGGCTCGCGCCGCGTCCCCAACAGGTGCTCCGACGGGCCCGTCGAGGGGCACTGGGCGACCCGGGCGGGATAGCTTCGGCTGCGCGCGCAAGGGGGGACGGCACGAGGTGCTCACACGTGCCCGCGTCGTGGAACACATCGCGACGTGAGATGCTTCGCGTTCGGCCTCCGGGGGCCCTCGCCGGGCCCCAGGACTGTCAAACAACGGCTCGGGGTGGAATGCCGGTCATTGGGATAGATTTTGGACTTCTGGGGACCCCGTGTTGATCGATGATCTTCAGGACGTGTGTTAGCCCACTGTGTGTTAACCCCGTTCGGCCAGTGCCGGTCATCGTTACACCACGTGCGTCGTATTGAAGGGTTTCGATGTACCAGCACAAGTTGGCGCTAACATACGGTCTGAGGATCATCGAGTTGATTAGATCAAGACATCACATGTGTTGGGGGGATACAGGTTCAGGCGGGCGGGGTACACGTGGGGCGGGGTACAGGTTCAGGGGGGGTGCAACATCATGCATCAGCAGAGGCGGATACACTCAGCGGGGCGCCGCCCGCTCATCGCCGACAGGGGCCCGCTAACCCATCCCGCCCAGGACCGTCCAGATGCGGTCTCGGGGGCACATCGCCAATCTGTCGGCGACGTATCGCCGATTCCTACTCGACGTTCCTCCCCCTCCAAGATTGGTCCCCTCTGAAAGTCGTCTTTCAGGCTTACGGATCGAGGTCCGTTTGTCTTCGTCGATTCGCGGCGGTATTCCAGACTCGGGTTGTTTTCGATCAGTTGCGCCTCGCCGAGAATGCTCCAGGCGTGACCGAGTCGTCCCGAAAAGCCGCCAGAGACCCGAAATATCGCCAGGAAGCCACGCGCGCGAGGGGGATGTCTGAGAAGGTGGGGGGGGGGTCTGACGCGGGGGCCTTCTCGGAAGTATCAGGAGGCTTGTGAGAAGGCGGGCGTCTCGGAAACTGGGAAAGTTTCTACGAACCCGTTGGGCCTCTCTAAACCTGTCCGCCTTTTGCGGCGCCGCCGCCCTCGCCCATTGCGCGCGCCAGCAGCAGCCGTCGTCGTGGTTGTCGTCGTCGTGATCGATCGATCAAGAATCGGTAGTCGTTGTTGGCGGATTTGGCCACTCGGTGACCTCTGGAGGCCTCATGGGAGGCCTCCAGTGGCATCCCGGGGACATGCCGAGACTTCGGGCGAGCCCCCTCGCCGTCGATCAGCACTTCTCGAAAATAGCCCGCGAGCCCCATGGAGCCAGGAAGTGTGGGATTCGCACCGGTCGCATGGATTCGGCGACGCCTTGGTGGCAAGAAGCAGTGGCACTTACCAGAAGTTTCTCTGCGTTGGTCGCCTCGTGATGTTCTGATGGCGGATGCCGCGCCCACTTCGTGAAGGCAGAACCGTTGTCATCATCCTCCCCCAGTCCTCCTGATTGCTCCTCCTCTCCCGCATCCTCCCTCTCCTCCCTCTCTTCTCCCTGCTCCTCCCCTTACCACTGGTGCCGCCCCCTCCCTCCCCTGCCCCTCCTCTATCCCTCCCCCCTCCTCTCAGAAAGAGGAGGAGAAGGAGGAGGAGGAGGAGGAGCAGGAGGAGGAGGAGGAGCAGGAGCAGGAGCAGGGGGAGGGGGGAGGAGAAGGAGGAGGAGGACGCTGAGCGGGAAGAGGGCGGCGGCGACGACAGCGAAGTCCTCGCCGCTTCTCGAGATCCGGAGGTGCCCTGCGGGGGCCCTCGGGCCGTCGAGGCGTCGTCCAGCGGCGGCGCCCTGCGGTGCAGAGGCCTCCCGGCACACGCCGGCCGTCTTTTTGGCCCGGCCTCGCGTGGCGAAGACGAATCCCTGACTCTCAACTTGTTGGCACAGCGACCTCCTCCCCCTCCTCCCCCTCCCCCTCCCCCTCCTCCTCCTCCTCCTCCTCCTCCTCCTCCTCCTCCTCCTCCTCATCCTCTGGGCTTTCGTTATTCTCGTTGCCTCGGCGCCGTTTTCGAGATCCAGGCCAGGGCGAGGATAAATCCGTTCCAGAGCGTTCCAGAACGCTCTCAGAGCGTCCCAGAGCGCTCTGAGAAGGCCGCGACGCGCGACACATTTTCCAGAGCCGCAAGACCGCAGAGATTCTCGATCTGTCCTCGCCCGAATTTGTCCTCGTCCTGGCTTCGTCTTGGGACAGAACTGGAGCGCGCAGCAGATGAGGCGTTCCACAAAGGGCCTTGCCTTCGAGAATAAAAGGAGTTGCCATCTCTGCAGAAGCGGAAGGTCGGCGGACGCAAAAAACGAGGTTGCCTCCGCCGGTGGAAGCCGGCGGAAGGCCGGCGGAAGGCGGCGGAAGTAAAAAATGCGCCCCCAACAGGCCGAAAACGTTTTTCGGGGGTTCAGGGCTTCCGAGATCGCCCAGATGCCCGAAGCAGGGGGCCACATGCGAACCCGACCCCCCCCCCCTCCCCCTCAGAAATCGTGGGGGGTAGGGGTAGGGTTCGCATGTGGCCCCTTTACGAAGGGAAGGAGACGGCAGCTCCACGGCCTGCGCCGGTTGCGTTGCAGAGAGGCACGACCTCGGAGGCCCTGGCCTGGCGCACGGCAGGCACCAGGGCGCGGCCGGCGCGCGTCGGGCACCTGTCGGGCACGGGTCTCTCGGGGGGGGGGCCCCCCGGGCCCCAGGAGCCGGGGCCCGAGGCCCACGCGAGGGTGCCGAAGTTGTGAGCTCGGGGAGCAGGTGAGCGGCGCCGAACAAAGCGGGGCCGTCTCTGCCGAGTGGCGCGGAAGCTCCCCGCGTGGGGTCGCCCGCAGGCACCCTCGTCTCCAGTGCGGCGTGCCGCGCGGGCGGCCCGCGCAAGCCGCCGCGGATGGTCGCTGCGTCGTCTCGCGCAAGACCCGTTTCTCGCCGCTGAAGCGATGGCACTAAGATGAGTTTTCGGAGGTCCGAGCTGATTTCTTGGATCGGCGCAAGGCCCCCCCTCCCTGGCGCGCTCCGCGCGCCAGGGGCGGCGCCGGAGGCGCCGCCCGCTTCGGAGGGGTGTTGCTGCCGGGCGAGCCGCGGAGGCTCACGCCACGCGAGGCTTCTGCCCTCGGTCGGCCAGCGTGCGGCGCGCAGTGGACACAGCGTGCTACTGTTAAGTCGTGCACGTCTCTCGACAGGACAAAAATACAAAAATAGTTAAAAGGTACTCAGGAGACGATGTTTTCAGTATTTGTAAATATTGATCAGTATTGTTTGACTATTTTCATTTGTCTTTCAGAATCCGCCTGTAGGGGGACATGCCCGACCCAAAGCTACTGAATGTCCGTGCGAGGGATGGGGGTCGAGAGTTCCATGGCGACGCGCAGCGGAACAAGTCAGGTCACTGGAGTCTCCACTGACGTTCGATGCCGTGATCTGTTCAAATCGCGTTCGCCAGAAGTCACGACACATCCCCCATCTGTTCGTCGCGGGTGATTTTATGACGGTCCCGTGACCCGGCGAGGGCCCCTGGAGGCGAAAATTTCAACAGCAACCGCAACAAAAATGACGCCGTGATTTCCAGCACGACGCGAACGGGTGTGGGTCTGCGTCTGCGCAGCCGTTTGGGCCCTTTTGGGAGGGGGGGGGCACCTGGGGGTTCGCCCTGCCCCTCCATGTCGGGGGATGTGGCGCTGCTGGCGAAGCTGGCGGGCTCCACTCTGTGGGACGAGGACGTGCACTTCGGAACCCACCTGCAGGCCGCCTGGGCGCGAGGAGGGAGGAGGAGGAGGAGGAGGAGGAGGAGGAGGAGGAGGAGGCGGAGGAGGAGGAGGAGGAGGAGGAGGAGGAGGAGGAGGAGGAGGAGGGATGACGGAGGAGGGGATGAGGAGGAGGAGGAGGAGGAGGAGGAGGAGGAGTGGAAGGACGAGGAGGAGGAGGAGGAGGAGGAGGGAGGAGAAGGAGGACCAGGAGGAGGAGGAGGAGGAGGAGGAGGGGGAGGAGAAGGAGGAGGAGGAGGAGGAGGAGGAGAAGGAGGAGGAGGAGGAGGAGGAGGAGGGAGGAGGAGGAGGAGAAGGAGGAAAAAGAAGAGCAGGGGGAGGGGGGAACGGAGGAGGAGCCGGAGGCATAAGGGGCAGGGAGTGGGGACGGGAGGGCGAAGACGCACGGGTCTCCTGGGCGCAGGTGGCTCGGGGCGCCAGCCCTTCAGAAACTATGCCTTGGCGTCGCTCGGATGTGTGCATTTTGCCTTCGGCGAGGACCATCGAGGAGCATCCTTGACCA